AATATAAAGATTTTAACTTCTTTAATAAAAAGTATTAAAATCTTTTATTTAATCTTAATAACCTTAATAATCTTATTATTACTAAGCTTACTTTACTTAATATTAATACTTTTAGCTATATTATTTATTTTTATATTCTTTTAAGTATATAAAAGGTTATTTATTAAAAAAAGATTAAGCTTTTAAAGCTAGTAAATAAAAAGTATTTAAAGTAAAACTATTTTATTATAAAGTTAAGGGAAAATTAGGCTTAGTAAATATTACTTTATATTTTATAGCTATAACTTTAAGGCGATAAATATAAGTTACTTAGTAACTTAAGGAGAAAGGGTAGCTATACTATAGAGAAAAGGTTAAATAAATAAAGGTTTTAAAGAGAATATATTTATAGTAGCTATATAGTTAGCTATAAAGGAGGAAAGGTTAAAAGAACTGGTAAAGGTTTAGAGAAAAATATATATATAGTAGCTATATTATTAGAGGAAAGGTTAAATTAAGGTTAGGGAATATTAAGTCACAAGGTGGCGAAAGATCGGTCATAACAAAGTTATTTTAATACAATGGATGACCGAGACAACCCCTTCCAGCGTCGTGAGAAGTCCTTTGTACCCTAGCCCGCCCTCAGAGATCGGCTTCCTGGCCTCAGCATCAGATGCTACCAAATGAGTGCATATGGTGATGAGTCCGGGCTGAACCGTTCTGAGATCGCCTTCGACCTCTGGGAGCATTCCTTTGAGAAATGGGACGGCTTCGGTGAACTTGTAGAGATACTTGGACCGGGCTCCAGGTATGATGACAGCAGCTGTATGGAAGACAGTGAGTGGTAGAGGTGCTATCTTCGGATCCCACGGTTTAGAGAAAGCTTCGCCAACAGCAGCCTTGGAGGTAATGTCTGTCTGCACAAAGTCCACTTGAGCAGCTAGGCCTTCCCGAAGATCATCTCGCTCAGTCTCTCGAACATCGATAATTCGAATACATCTAGGCGGTGTCCCGCGAGCCAATAACTGGAGAACTATGTATCCACCGACAAGCCCTGGCACACTCGTCAGTACCAACTAGTACTTCATGGACGGAGGAGACTTGCCATTCCCTCCGGTGACAATGTATCTTCTATCAAGTTTGGGAGGCAAATGCCCATTGAAATTTATTGGTGATCTTTCGAGGGCTTCATACGTTTGACTCAGTAATTCTGGGGTCCAAGGCTTGCCTCTTAGTTGTCCAATATGTTGGGGCGTCTCTTTTAACAATCGGTTGATGCGACGAAGATAGAGGATGAGAGCCACAAAAAACACGCCTAGCTCAAGAAGCACTAAGAATAGCGTGCTAGCCATGCTGATGGTGTTGGTTGATGCGAAGGAATGTATCAAAGTCAAAACCTCATTACGCGTCGGAGACCCCTTTTTCGACGGGCGATCTGATGTAACAAGAGGCCTCTGTGACCTCGTAGAATGTCAATTAATTGGAAGATACTTTTCGTGGGCTGAAACGTCACCAGACAGCCCCTGATTTCTCCAATCGAGTGCTGAGTCATATGATATCCCTGCCGATGACCGTTTGGTCTAGCCCAGTTTGTCGAATGTTACCGCATGGTGTAAAAATAACACGACAAGATCAACGCGATTGCATCGGATTGAAATCATCTTGATCTCAGCCTTGTGCGTATTCATCCAAAACGTGGCATGATACATATCTTCAACTCCAATACCCAGTCTAAAGACTTGGGGCCATCCTTTCTGCAACCCTGAAACAGGTTACGGTACCCTGCTCAATTCTCCGCCTTAGTAACAAAACCTCTGTTGTATGGGCAGACATGCCTTGCTGTCCTACGCATCAGAGCCCAAACATGTAGTGGCATACGAGGTGATACAGCTTATACGATGGAAAGAGAGTTTCTTAAGGAAATATGTTAATGCGCTTCCTGGCGGTGTGAAACTGTGAACCATGACCTGCCAATCTTGGGAAGGGTTGATGCCTGGGGTGTTTTGTGTCGATGACAACCAAAAGATCGATCGATCCAGCCTCTCCATCCTCCACAAGAGGGCTTTAGCGTAGTTTAACATTAAAGGGACACGGAAATTGTGGCATTCCTCGGCCGTCTCACCCAGGACGCTGTCAGAATTGTTGATGGCGCGCACTAACTCCAGGAGCTTTTCCAGCGCTATTTGTACCAAGCCCAAGAATCTGAGACGTCAAAGATCTATTCTCTTCGACGCGGGTCCTCCTCGACTGAGACGAGAAGCCAACCAGTGAGGGCTGGAGATAACCTTCTTGAAGACTCGAAAAACGTTCACATGCGCTCGTCTCGAGTGACGCCATCGACCTATCCACTCACCGAATGCGCTGGCTCATTACGTGGCCCGACAGCTAAGCCAGGGCGGGACGTGCTCGCGTGATAAACATCATAAGGGAAAAAGGTCCCTCGGGGGGGCCCATTCCACCCCATAAAGACATTGGTTCCATGTTATGAGTATAAATAAGAGGATCCATGATGCAAAAAGGGCGGAGTGTCTCTGGCTCACCGAGGATAGTAACATTCTTAGGTGGGTTGAAGAGACAGCATAAATACTAACTTGAGTATCCATCCAGGGATAGATCAACTAGGTTGAGGAATTATTGAGATATGAATAGTGCCGTTCTACTTACCGACTAGTTAAATTGGAAGGATATGGTGAACAAAAAGCACGAGAGTTGGCTTGGCGACAGGATCATACAAATAAGCCAAAAAGTGCATGATTCTTTTCTTCACCCTGTAGCTTGACGTCAGAATGACGTTTGATTAGCTGTCAAACTTGCTTCTGACCAATGCCGCCCCCGGGAGACCTCCGTTGAGCTTGTAGCGAAAACAGTCCCCAAGCATGAGACCCTGATACCGACGCAGTGGGCTCGTTGCTCCCGTCTAGCGCTCCAGGGCTGAATCTTTTTCTGCCCACCAAACTCAAAAGTTACCCTTTGTTCTCTGCCAGATCACTCACTTACTGATCACCCATTCATCCCCATGTGTCTTACCATGTTCCATCCAGATAATTCCACCATTCGCTCCAGCTGAAAGGGTCTTTGGCAATGGATCCCCAGGAGGCAAGGAGACTGATCCCGATCCTGCCCGCTCAGCAGACCTCAGGGTACATCTATGGGGAAGACCACTCCCCTGGCCCTTCATCACCACCGCACAGGTTACGGAAGAGAGTCTTGGTCGCCGTGGCTTGCGAGGGATGCCGCCGTAAGAAAGCGAAAGTATGAGGCTTCTCTCTGTTTGAAGAGGAGTAGGAAATACTGATGAGGCTTTTCTTGTAGTGTGACGGCAGAAAGCCGACCTGCAGCCGTTGTTTCTCCAAAAGTGAGGCATGCTCGTACGAAACCCCATCAGTTCCTGTCGCCGTGCAGAAAAAGTACGACATCTTGCTAGTTGAGAATCAGCAGTATCGAGAACTGTTTGACGCCATAAATAAGAAGCCTGAGTGCGAGGCGCAGGAGATTTTCAACCGGCTGAGAAGTTCGGATCAGCCCCTTGCTGTCCTCGAAACTGTGAGACAAGCCGAAGTTCTTCCCCCGAAACCTTCGACGAATACATGGGATTCCGATCCCAGGCTGGCATTTTTCGACCAGAAAGCATTTGAATCGAGTGTTATACAAGTTCCTGCCAAGCCGTGGACAACAGTTGCCGGAGATGGAATCGTATCGGAGCTAATAACGGACTTTTTCACTTGGGATAACTCCTATATGTTTCCCGTGCTCGATAGGATCACGTTTGTGGATGAGATGAGAGCGGGAGATGATACAGAAGTGAAGTGGTGCTCACCCTTGCTAGTGAATGCTATTTGCGCCAAGAGATGTGTGAGTAGCCAGACGACTTCCTCAAGCCATAGCTAAGTAATTGTAGCTGATGGTCGAACGAGGAAAACAATTCGGTGTCATGACAGGCCGCAACCTCTCCGAGTCCTTCCTTGCCGAGGCTAAGAGCCATTTTGAGTCTGAACAAGGCCGACCATCGATACCAACTGTCCAAGGACTACTTCTGATATACCTTACCATGGCAGCAACGGGGAAAGACAGAGCTGGTCTGATCTATCGCCTCACAGCCTATGAGATGCTCAAGCAACTCCGCTTGGAGGCAAGGTATAAGGCAGCAAAGAACAACGTTCCACCTCAGACTCATGATATGATGCTGACATCCAAGACGCTTTGGGGAATATTCCTTCTAGAGAGGTGGGGGCGATCTAATCCAATCATAAGACGTTGTGTTGACCGTGAGTGTTTAGCCGGATAGCTCATTTCTACAACAGGCCCTCTACTATTCCCCCACCTCAAGTCCCTAAGCCCTTCCTCTCCATCCTCACATTCACCCATAAAGGAAATTTGGATGTTCTTGATAGGCCTTGGAAAGATTCTTCTGGTCTTGTTCCTCGGCCACCGGGAGTATTAGCAGCTGCATGCTCATTTTCTGAACTTCTCTACGAGATCATGCAGTATCTCACAACTTCTAGATTCAGACGGGGAAGTGAGGAAGATACTCATGCTAGACGGTTGTTCTTTTCTCGCCTCATACAGCTGAAACATGACATACCTCGCCAGTTGGTCGTGGAGCAGAACCTTACCCCAGTAACGTGTTTCTTAAGGTAAAGACCCAACTTGCTCGAATTTCACTCACTGACAAGACTATAGAATAGACGAAAACCTAATACTATACACACTGCTCCAGGATATGCCTACCAATACACCATTTGGTGTCCCGTACAGTTCGACAGTCAAGGACCTATGTATTCAACACTGTCGCCACGATACAGAGATTATTGGGTCATTCGTCAAGAAGTGGCCTACGAACCTAATGATAGCACACCAACTGTACATATCGATGCAAACACTGGTCCCCATACTCGATGACACCGCGGCACAAGATCTGTTTACAAAAGGTTGTCGGATGGCGCAGTTGTCTTCTGGCAGCGTTAGACTCAGCGGAGTTCTCCTACAAGCGACTCAAGCCTTCATCTGGGCCATGGACAAGTGCATCCCGGAAACTGCACGGCAACATCTCGAAGGGTGGACTCAAGAAACAGTTGAGAAGGACTTGCCAATGAGCTTTGCCTTGCCTCCCCGGGGAGAGGTCAAGGAAGTCCTCACTTCTGATGAAAGCGACCAGGAATGCTCGATATGGAACTTGGGCACCTTGATTGAGAAGTGGGCAATGCTGTCAATGGATGAAAGCAGACCATCGTCGTGACCATAACGAATGAGAAATTCTTGCTCAATGGATGAGAAACGATCTCTGGCTGCGTCATATGCTTGTTCCTCAAGCTAGCATTCCTTCCATCATTTCCGCTTTCGAGCCATACTATTCCGCCGAGTTCAGGAGGAACAAAATCATGCATGATTCTTTATGACTCCTCGTATTCGATGGCAACATGATATGGTGGGGTCACGGGATATAGAGGTTTCGTGATTGCTTCACTTGGAGGCTCAGTCGCAGCACGTGAACAGCATATCAGATGATCTTATCAATTTGGGCGACTACACTGAGCTGCCATCAAACTCCGCTCGAGACATAAAGTTATTTATAGTCCCGTCTTCTGATAATGGTAAATCTCAGCGCTGAACGCTAAGCAATGAGTGGATTTTAGAGTCTTGGCCTAACGTTAGAGGGTCGGTCATCTTACGCGTCCCTAAGGTAATGCCAAGTTGATCACCAGCCACAGGCATATGCTCGTCATGACAAACATGATTCGGCGAATCCGATGCTCAGTGGCTCAGCCCCGGGGTCATTTGGTACATGTCCGAACGCGCCGAGCCACAGCATGCCGATGCATCCGGCTGCCAAGTGGCCGGGAGTGCCGAGACCCGCGCCGCAAACATGTTGGTTCGGGCAACTGCGCCACCTTTGCCCAGAGTGAGATCACATCAGCCAAGAGCAGTAAACCTTGTTGGAGCTGAATGGCTTGATGACGACAGTGTCTACTTAAGTAGAGCTTAACCCCTCACTTTACATGACTGCTCAAAGCTAGAATTACAGTACAACTTCACGAATACACATAAACAACACAAAACAACATGTCAGCTCAAGATTACTACGGCGGCGGTGGAGGCGGCTACGGCCAGCAGCAACAACAAGGTGGTGGTGGTTATGGACAGCAACAAGGCCATGGCCAACAACAACAGGGCTATCCTCAGCAGGTAAGCTATCCACCAAGCTCCAAGCTCCAGTTGCAGTCACTAATAAAGGTTCAATAGCAACAATACTCTCAAGGATCCAACTATGGCTCCAGCCAGCCAAGCTACGACAACCGCGATCAATCGTACGGCCAACACCAAGGTGGACAATACGGCGGCGGACCTGGCCAATACGCCGACGGTGCAGGTGGTCCTGGGGGCCCTGGTGGTCCGGGAGGTCCGGACGGAGAGCGTGGACTAGGTGCTACACTCGCAGGAGGTGGTGCAGCCGGCTGGGCCGCTCACACAGCTGGTAGCGGCCTTCTCGGCAGTCTAGCCAGTGCCGCTGCTGGTGCCATTGGCGCAAACTTCCTTGAACACAAGTTCAAGAAGCACAAGAAGGACAAGAACAAGAAGCATCACCGCGACGGACGACCTCGAGCTTTAACCGGCGAGTCGACTAGCAGTAGTGACTCCGACTCTGGCGATGAGCGACGCCGACGAAAGGACGATGACTTGGCCTACGGAAAGTCCTATGACAACTCCTCCCGACATGGACATGGAGGCGGTTCTCATGGTGGCTCTAGCTCATATGGCGGAGGCGGATATGATGGCCGAGATCAGGGCTACGGCGGTGGTCAGAGCTACGGAGGCCAGGGCAGCTACGGGGGTCAAGGCGGATATGGCCAGCAGGGTTACGGTGGTACCCGGTACTAATAGCCCTATTATGACCCTGGGACGGACGGAAGGACAAGACATTATCTTTTGTAATTGATATGAGCCGGAAGAACATCGACGTTTAACGTTAGACACGAATACAAATACCCTGCAATACTCATATGCTGAACATTTCTGCGACATGCCGGGAGATTGAACAATATTCGATAATTTTGCTCGCGCTTCCAACAGGTGAAAAGTGTCCTTCGGCAATTCGACTCAGCCCCGATTGTGGTGAACTTGCTCTCCCTGCATATGCAGGTCATGAACCAAACCCCGCTAAATGATGTCTTGATCTCCACGTCTGACACAAGAACCTGGTAACAAAGATACGCGTGTAGCATTATCCGAAGTACCGTGCGCGTTAGGACACCTCATTACCGTGACATCAGTTCTAGAGCGATCGTTTCATATGCGTCGTTTGCCAGACTGGATCTTGATCGACTGTAATGACCAAGAATCCTTTTTGTTTCCAGAAGTCGATTGCATTCGGTAAGAAGGGATGTGTATGCAGGTAAAGCTGCTTGATGATGCCAGATTGCCGAGCTGTCTCGACTAGCGTGTCAAACAGCCTGGAAGCTAGCCCTGCGCGACGCCATTCAGGCTCGACGTATAATCTCAGAATCTCGACTACATGCTCAGGTTCGAGAGTGAGATGTGAGAAGCGGCCATCGTAGGCAGCGTAGCCAATTGTCGCAATCAAGCGCCCAGCGGAATAAGCTGTTAGAAACGCGCCTTGGGGACGGTCAAGATATCTGTCCTTGAAGATGGCGAGTTCTTTCTGGGCCATTTGATCGCTGGATGATTGGTCGAGAAACGGGAACATGTCCGCTCGGGCCTTTGTTATCAACTCGACGATGGCGGGGATCTCATCATGCGTCGCTGGCTGAATGGTGATGTTGGACATGTCGTATTTTGGGTGACAAAGTCATCGGATGCCTTGAGTAAATAAAAATCTCACAAAAAATATGGCGCAACGGACTCCACATCTAGAACTAATCGTGCTCGCGAAAAAGAAGCTTATTTTCATTTGTCTAATCTCGCTAAATTGACCTTTCTTATCAATCTATGACCCCATACCTACTTGACGTCTACGTACCAATGTCAGCTTTTCCGATCCCTCTGAACTTTATCATAGTCAAGTCGACACACAACAAGGCTATCCTACGCAAATCTTCCCTATGAGAAAATGTACCATTTCGGTATTTCAACGCATCTTATTTGTGGGTATTAATTCACGTACCACGCTCAACACCTTCACTAGTAATAACCCTAGAGAAATAAGCAGCCCGTCAGCAACAGAAGAGAGTGACTGGATGAGCAACCACTGACAGCACTCTAGTATCAGAGCCTTCTTTTCAACCGCTGCAAGCATGTTCATATTGGGCAATTCTCAGTCGCCAACTGCATACAGCACAGGGTTTCTAGCATCGGCAGTGGTGCAACGCAGCTCAATCATCATTTAGAACAAAGCAGCCTTAATTGTTACATTCTTATTCCCTCGATCTCTAGCATCCCTCGGTTTTCGTGTCAATTTCGCGACTGCACTATTGTTGGAACAAGCCACGGTGTACAGGAAAGGCTCTCTCCGTCTTTCTTTTTCTCTCCTGCTCCTATTGGTCGTAGACACTTGCAGATGACGATGATACTGATTTTCTTACGAATGTATTCTCCGGCCTTGGCCCGTAAGTCACCAATACTGGACTTTTTGCAGCAGTGTTCATTCCGATGCGCGGCAACGAAAACTGGCCCAGTTGTTCAGCGTCCTCGCATTGTTCGGTGAACAATTTGCTCGACAATTTCTTAGTAAGACCTTTACCTGGTACAATCATGTTATCTTTGCGTGCGTTCCGTTAGGCATCATGACAGCAATCGCCGGTGCCATCTGGGTCCAAGGACACAAGTTTCTTAGAGCCTCATCGGTCGTGCTTGCGGGAACAAAACAGCTACGGATATTGAGTATATGTCTTCTACTTCAGCCCAAGTAGATGAACTGTTCAATGGAAGGGGCATCGTGCGCACAATGGGACAGCCCGCAATTGCTCAGCTTATAGTATTCCCTGATAAACTTCTGAAGTAGAAGAAGCGTGCGCAGTATCAAATATGACATACATACCCTCATGTCGGCATCTCAAGAAGACATTCTGCCCAAGGAATTATGGTGTGAAACATACGTTTCTCCCACTTGTACTAACCTGATGTTAGGATATTGCAATGAACTTGATCTAGCAGCACAAAATTGGTTGAAGTCATTCAAGGACACGGAGACTCACAAAAGGGATGTCGAGCAAGCAGAAGACGAACTTGGCCATTCTATCCCAAGAATTGAAATGGCAATCCCATTGCAAAAGAACGATAGGTTTCCCAAGTATTGGGACTCTGTAGAATCCCAAAATGTACAGCTGAATATTGCCACCGAAAATATCTCGCCAAGAAGGAGAATCATTGAACTTCAATTGGCCGCCATTGTTGCAGTTATCCTTCAGGCCTCCCTTCTTGTTATAGCCAGTGTCGTCCCTTACAGTGTTCAGGGCTACTAGTCTCAACCATGGGGACTCCCTTCTACATCGGCGGCTCAGTTCTTCACTTCATTGGCATGCTTGCATGCTCTGTTGCCATTGAACGAAGTACCAATGGGTTCAAATGGCGGCACAGCTTAAGCATCACTAATGACACGCAAACTTCCTCCGGAGTCCGACGTCGATCCATGGTTTGTTTTAAGGAAAGCTTAATCAATCAAATCAGTTTCACGCCTCTCCATCACCAGGCTTCCAATATGACCCCAATTAATTGGTGACTGATTGGAAGGTAATAGTTTTTGCCTCGTAAGATAATGCGCAGCTTTCGTACTTGATAGAACTTAGGGAAAGATTGGAAGAAGCGAGATATATTTGGCTTGGCATCTCTACATTATGCTTTCTCTTGCAAAGAATTTGACGTCGTCGAAGAGTGCCATCATCCCATCTTCCGTAGCAATCCTGGTTGTCTCAAAGCCCTTATACGGCAGAGCCACCCACGGAAATGGTGGTGCGACAAATTGGTAGAAGCCCATTTAATGTTGCTTGCTTGACAGGAAATTAGAGATGCTTGGAGATACTCTTCGGGAACTTGTCTGGGAAACATGCGAGAGCTAGCTTGGAAGCGAAAGAGCTGGACGCAATGACTCCCGTGCACCTTGCAATACGGGGAGATCACACAAAGTGTATTGCTATCATCAAACAGGCTATCCGGCTACAGGAACTTGAAATGCCGACAGACGCTTGGAAACGGAATCCTATTCATCTCGCCGTTCTCAAAGGCAAATACGACTGCTGTAAGGAGCTGGTTTGTGACGAAAAGCTCATGTTCAACCCATAAACTCTCGATATCCACGGAAGATCTCTATTTTCGTACCTTGACGAAGAGAAGGACGAACAAAGATCAATTGGGTGCCTGCTTCTCAAGGTTCACTCGAGACTTTTCCGAGGCAAAGACAACCAATGCCAGTCGGTCTGGCACTATGGGATCGGGTTTCTGCGTGAGGATGCAATAGACATCTTGCAGGATCAGCATTTATCAACCATCAACGCCAGCAATGACCCAAGCGAGACCCCGTTCCACGTGGCAGTCAAACATGAGAGCGAGAAGATTGTCAGCTTTTTGCTGAAACTTGGCGCGAGAACAGATAGAGTGCGGCTAAAGAATAGTCTCCGTTGATATCCGCCTGCTCCCGTGGCGAGGCGAATATGGTCTATACGACGCTCGATTCCAACAAGCAGGTCACCAGAGAGGTAGAAAAAGAGGAAAAGTCTCCTTTACACTATGTGATTGAGTGCAAAAGCTGCAACGACGAAGATCAGAAAAAGACCGTAAAATGGCTTGTGCCAGCTTTGAAAAGCGGCGACATCGACGTCGAAGACCAGCGGGGTTGGACGCCGCTACATGTTGCGTGTCCGAACTCCAAGAGCTCTATTGTTTCGATTCTTATGGATCAAGGAGTGGATCCGAGCGCAAAAGACGGCAAAGGGGACAATGCCCTTCATCACGTAGTAGGACTTTGGCCGCCAGTCAGTGGATCAACCTTCACCTGGAAAGAAGAAGTTGCCGACAAGGTTTCAAACGGCTCACCTGATTGTATTAGTGGTGTAAATGATGAGGGGCATACACCGTTGCTCTCAGCACTGATGTAAGGTGAAGCACGGCTAATGTCTTTCTTTCTCCAAATGGTGCTGATCCTCGAGTCACAACTGAGAATGCATTTCAAACGCCGTTCTTATGGGCTTATGAGCATGGTGGGCCATTCGCATTCATTTCAATGGTACTAGAAATGGCAGAAAATCAAGATAGTAAAATTGATCTTAATCAAGGAGATGCAATACTTGATCGGTCATCCTTGGCGTGGGCGTGCAATTGAAACTGTGCCGAGGTCGTCAAGTTATTGCTCGAGACTCGCAAGTCAGTCCAACTTCAAAACAGGCTAGATCTCAACAAGGCAGTAACATGCTACAGCAATTATACACCACTTCATATCGTTCTGATGGAGAAGAATTACGGAATTCTGGTGTTGCTGCTTGATGATCCTAGGATCATGCGTGGGCTGGGCGCAACAAAACGTTATGATCTTAACCTTTTAGAATTCACTTTTGAGAGTTCCAATCAAAAATGTTTGACCGCGTTGCTTCAGCACCATCATGCGAAGTCTGTTGTGTTTCATGACTGGCTGGGAACGAATGGTTCAGAAACACGCCAGTTTGGTCGACATCGTCGAACTCTGGGAAGAATGGGAGCCCGCTATCCTTGATCCGAAACATAAGGTGCAGTATCTTATCCATAGGTTAGCTAAAGCTGGTCGAAAAGAGAAGATTGAAGCACTGCGCCGAAGTGGTATAGATGTACATGAGCAGTCATCGGAGTAGGCAGACTTTTTGATGGGTTGTTCAGCATGCGGGAAAACGAGCACGGGACTTTTTTAGCCATCATAGAACTCATTCCGATACGGGTTTTTTGAGAAAGTGGGTTTTGAATGCTCTTCACATTCTTGCAAAGTGACAACATCAAGCTCAATGTAATATATTCTCATGAAGGCAAAGCAAACTGCAAACAGAGTCATGTCTCGTCCGGATCCACCAATGCCTGGTAGCCGACAAGGCCCAAAAGTTGATATTGGGCAAACGCCGAGTTCAGCCTTGAAGGCCATCAGCTATCATTGCATTGACAAGCTGAACATGTCGATTGGCGCTTGTCTCGCTCCACTCATTATCGTAGTTGAGTCCATATGGCCAAATATGTCCTCCGCCACAGTTGATACGAACACCAGCACCATCCCAAGACTGAAGTAGAGGGGTCGCCGTGCGCCAGTCATTCGCAGCACACTTCCTGTCAAAAGCCGCAGTCTGGCCAATTCCAAGAGTGTGAGAGATCTCATGTAAAGCGGTGCGCTCGCTCATATAAGATCGGTTGGAGCCGAAGCGAAGACTACCATTGAAGTTGGCGTCGGCAGTTGGAACGCCGGGAACATAGGAGACGCGGATGGTCTTGGTGGCTCCGCCCAAACGGTTATATCGCGCTGCTGCAAGGCGCATGGCATTTTCAATGCGGCTGTAGGCATCCGCTTGGTCGGCTGATGGGTTGGAGACCTTCTCAAGGGACCAGGTGATGGCGGCGGAGGTGGCAGAAACGCATGCCACGAGGGCAGTGAACATAGTACAAAACCGCATGACGAGTGTTGGTGAGAATGAATACCGTAGTGGTGAGCACACCTTGTGGAAATGTCGATACTCAAGGCTCTAAATACCTCTATAGCATACCGCTACTATATCAGCTTCCATAATCTGCATTATTCCGTCGATCAGCTTGACCCTTATCATTTCAAGGTTTCATTCTATCGGCTCACATGGCCACTTTTGTAAAACGATACGGAGTATCTTCATCCGATTATCCTGTTCGAAACATATCTAAAGCCCACAATTGGGCAGGATGCTGCTCAGATCACTTTAGCGATGAAACCCTGCGAGGCTTGCTAGGATCTTGAAGCGACCGAATCCCAGCCCAGGGGAATGTTTTGACAGAAACAACTCTAATCGCAAGGCTTATGAGCTTAACAGTGACTTTTTGTACATTCTCAATAAGATCTCTTAGAGTACTTGAAATGCCAATACTTAACTCTCAATGGCAAGATAATAATGTACCGATCTTTAGTAGGCGGGAAGATCAAAGACAAGCTGGTGTCCCCTCACCAACAAGTCACCGACGATCACTTCAGTAAGCGGAAGGTGTGATGGCATCGCGACTTGGTCTCGAATGCCAAGACGATGGACGGAATACGTTGGGAAAATGGAACAATTACAGGCGAGGGGAGACTAGGTCACCGGGTTAGTAGGACTTATCCATTGGTGGAACAACAGCGTGGCTAGTGTATCATTGAAACTAATCATCCAGCATGCCGTGTTTCACGCCTGAATCCATCCTACCAGAGACAAAAGGGACAAACAGTGCCATAAGCACGAGATAGATGCTGTAGATTGGCAAGACCAAAGAGAACTTATCAGCTAAGATATCGTTCTTGTTTGACGACCATGGAAGGAAACTATACAGCAAATCCGTTCCTAGTGCATTCGTCGATCAACGTCTTGGCACCGACGATCTGCTCAACCTTGCCATTCCCCGCCCACTTGACAAGCTTCGACCTGCCCACTTGTGCCTGTGTTGCCGGCCATCCATCCTTTTCCAAGCCGTGAACAGGGTCGCTGGCGAACCTGAGATAAAGGTCTTGCATTCTCTCACTGACCTTTCTCTCGAATTTGGTTGATGGGCCCTCAGTTTCATGGGTACCAAAGATCAGAGGCAATTCAGCAGTATGGTACGCGCCTAGCCAAGGAAGAGGGGAAATGTTCGTGAAGTTACCTGCATAAAGATACTGGAAAGTTCTGGCACCTGCTTCGGATCTCATGCGGTTCTCTTTGAGGGTAGTGCATTGGAGATTGAGACCAAATCCATTCGCAATGGGCTTGAGGTTGGTCGGTATTTCTGTAGCTGTTTTGTAGCCTGAGAAATTAAAGGGAATAACGGCAGCTCCTTCGTTCGTGTTGGTTCCAGTCAAGAGAGGAATGTTTGCTGGAAACTTGGATGAACCTGAAGTGATTCTTTCAGTGTAGTTGGTGAAAGCAGTGACATTGTCAGGAATAAGTGAGAAGCTGAGGCCATCATCAGCAGCACCTCCTTGGCCGAGTTCTGCTTGGAAATACTCCTTGAGCTTGTTCTCAGGAACGTCTCTCATACACTGGAGCTCTTTTTTCGGGGACAGGTTTCCGCAACCTAGATGTCTTGCGGCGATAGAAAAGGTGGTGTGATTTCTGGCATCACCCAAACTTCCCTCAATCGCTAAGGTCTTGTTGCGTGGTTGTCGGCGATGCGTTGACAATGGTGTAGGCAATTGGCATGATATCTTATATACACGTTCCGTACCAACAAGGCATTTCCTCACGCAGAATCCCCTAATCGAATAAGTCACCCTATCAGCTCCAGGGTCTTTTAACTCCGATAGAACCAAGTATCATCGGTGCTTATATCCGCCTCGCATGTTGATCAGGCACCAGAGTACAGGGAAAGTCATGTCGTTTAGAGCTAAAACGGCTTAATCCTAGGTTCATTATTAATCATGATTTATAATAACAAATATTCTATAAATTAAGTCCTTCTAAGTCAATTCTATAAGCGCCGGACAATTTGCGTTGTCCAAAGTCCGACAGTCAGCTTACTACTAGTTAGTCTAGCTACCGAAAGGCCGGCTGAACAATTGAATTCGGTAGCCCCAGTAGATCTTTCCTATGCCTTATAGTCTGAAGCACTCTGAAGCATAGTAGCAGGCCATTATTCCGCCTTGATGCTAGTTTGTTGATGGCCAATGTTGCTGATCGTCTGGGGCAGCAGTCGAAGCAACAGAAACAGCGTATCTGGATAGCATAGTAGATTTCAGTATTGCTTTTACTTGCTCCGAAGTTGCTTAGTTCATATCAGTTTCGGCTTGTCGGAAATGCTCTTAACGCGAATGACGATCTGAAGTTTGGTTCCGTGCCTCGACCAAGCCAGTTGAGTCGCGCTGTTCCATGACCTGTGACTTTCCTGCTGAGTCTTATGGTCGGTTATCCATATGATCCCGGTCACGTAGAAGTTCTCTCAACTGTTCCAAAGCCTTTGTAACGGTGGCTTTCCTAACAGCATCGCGATCCCCTGGAAAGTAGAACGGCCCAAACGCTCTGTCCTGGCCAGCCCTCGAGATTCCAATAATCACCGTCCCGGGTGCTTTTCCTTCCTCCGTACCAGGTCCTGCCACACCCGTCGTGCTAATCCCCCATGTCGTTGGCGTATCGAGCGTCGTGATACTGCGAGCGCCAGCGGCCATCTGTTCCGCGACTTCCCCATTGACAGCGCCGTGCTTCGTGATGATAGATTGACTAACTCCGAGTATGTTGACCTTTATGCCTGTGCTGTAGGAAACTATGCCGCCGCGACAGACAGAACTTGCGCCTTCGACTGCTGTGAGGGCAGCCATGATACTGCCGCCTGTTAAGGACTCGGCGACACCGACAGTTTCTTTCTCCTCCTCGAGAAGACGTATTACATCTTTGGCGATGTCGGAGATGGTTTCTGAGCTTCGTTCCACGTGTTTCAGCTTTGACATATTGGCGTTTCGTTTGAGGTTGGTTGATGTTGGATCTGAAAACCTTATTCGATAGCTTCGATGAATAGATCAGAGACGCCCTGCGGGTGAACTCACACATGCGAAAGGAAACTTTCACACTTCGGAGGAATATTAGAGGTGTGATGGGCAAATTTGAAGAAAGTCTATGATGGTCTTATGACGTCCTATTGAGCAATTTTGACGACATCAATTATATATCCAGCATTGACAATGACTCGTGTAAAACTACGGTCTCACTCCTTACAGTGAATAGAGAGTCTCAAGGCTTTTGCTTGCAGAAGGTCTCGGTGAATGGGAGAGGCGGGACATTCCTTGATTCCTGTGAGCCCTTGGCCGAACATCTGTGATTCGACATCTGAAGTAGAAGTCTTCCGATTAATAGACAAGAATCTTTAAGGCCAGAACGTGTCATATTGTGCCTGTTGTATCTCACTAACGATAATGCTTTTAATCCATGGACTTTGCATATGCAACCGCCAACTCCGTTGAATGTAGCGCTCTATCAACAACGCCTTCAAAATGCGATCCTTCCGCTATGTCACTATTTCTTGAACTTTTTCTGGATCTCTTCCTCAGTGAAGCGACGAGTCTTCGTCTCCAACATAGCAGCACGCTCATCTAAGGACATGGCGATCTGCTCACCCATTGGTACCAAGCACCTGGCCAGAGTCTTGTAATCCTTCATCATCAATCGAACGGTGACCATCATGTAGTCAATGTCGTGGAATACAAGGGCGTGCTGTGATGCATAGGTGTGTTTCGTCTTCTGGAAAGAAACAGGGTGCTCGCGCCAGTGGCGAAGGGGGTTGAGATGGTGAGAGGTGTGATAACCGTCGTTGTAGCAGAAGCGGTTGCTCTGTTGATAGTTAGCGCGAGTATTATGGTGATCATGTGGGTTCAAACTTACAGCAACATCAATCAGCGTAATACTGGATCGGTAATCAGAGTCGGGATCAACATCGTCAACAAAAGCATGTTGACCCCAATTACCCGCCATCAAGCCGAGACGAAGGAGAAGCAGCGGCATAAGGAAGACACAGAAGGTGGCGTTTCTGTGTAGGTTGAACATGGTGATAAGGAAAGCATAGTTGGAAAACTCCCAGAATCCGGCCTTCAAGCCAGTCATGACCTTGCCATTTCGGATGAAGTAGATGGGGAGATCAGCCCAGACGAGGAAGAAGAATCGGCCGACATAGTGAAGGAAGTGAAGGAGGCTGTCTCGCTGGTATCGGATAGTCGATGACAGATCGTTAGGCCCATTGCCCTCAACGTGATGATGCTTGACGTGGTGATAGAAATAAGAGTTCCAAGTATGTCCCATCAAAGGATCAAGGATGTACGGAAACAGATGATCAAAGATGGCAAATTTCTTGTCCAAAACGCCTCTCATGTGAATATGCTGGTGCATCAGCAAAGTATACGCTCCCATATAAGAGAACTGCATAACGAAGTGAAGGATACCATGAATCCATGTGAAATTCGTGAACAAAAAGATGGCGCTGGGAATCGTGGTTGAGAAGTAAAGAAGCAGATGCGTAAGCATAATGACATCAGTCTCAACCCTTACAACAGACCGCGCAAGGCGAATATAGGGTCTCAGCACGGTCTTCTCCAGGAAGAGCGGTAGCTTGATCTGATCAATGTCCCAATTGGTCGTGACGCTTGGTTCAAAGTGCGCATCTTTGGGGTCGTTCATTGCCTGGAGATGACGAAGCAGTTCTTCATCGCGGGCTACTGAGCTGTTAATTGGCTGGATGTTAGATAGGCATGGGGTGATACGAACCGGCGGGTGCTGAGGCTGAGGTCTCGGCATTGCTCGATGATGAATCCTTTATGTCTTGGCGGAGACCTTCGAGGATCAGCGCATCAGCTTTTGTCAGCTGAGGATGGAAGACGATGGTGTCCTCCATGTTGGCTGTGTGGCAAATGGGCGGAACAGAGAATATCGTGGTGTGTTGCTACAAAGCAGCAGATTGAAAGTCGATCGTAGCGTCCGGATGGGGGACTAAAGCTTCAATCGAAATCCAGGGTCCTCAGCTGATAGATGTTCTTGCAAGACCCAGAGTTAAGATCGCGAGAAACAGAAAAGTCACCCCTAAATCTGAAGCAGAACAACCAATGGCAACATTCCAGGTAAGAAAATCAGTGGAGAAAGGAATCTCGCTTCTATCCCTTTTTGGTCCACCGCTCAGTTCTTGGGCAATCTCGGAAATAGCCAAGATGTTCCCGTCCCGTCTAGGCCATCTGGCTTTGACCGGGGGTAAAAGGAGGTTGTAAATTGAGATTTCGCCAATGGCTGCCACTGGCAATAGGGAATAATGCGACGAAGGAGCTCAAGGGTCCAAGATTTAGTCAGAGTTGGAGGTGAGAGTTTGACAGTGTTGCAATGTCGATATTTCCGGGTGCGTGAATGTTGCCTCAGAGCCCGATTGGGTAACGCTTCCTTTTCACTGACTCAATTGAAACATCGTATGATTTTTTGGGGTAGAAGTTTTTATGGTGAAAAAGAATCTCGTGTCCTCGTTATCTGTGTTTGCAGCCTAAAGTTTAACCTTGTGGCCAGCATCCAGCCTCGTCGTAAGTATGTATGATCTTGGTCAATTCCGCCCACGCTGAAAATAGAGCATAAGCAAAGTGAGACAAAATACGAGCCAGGTGAGTTATTTGAAGTTGAGCTCTGTGGTTAAGAACTTAACTATATCACCATACAAAACTTAGCAAAATACAAGCTTTGACACAAAGGTTGGTGGTTTGGCTCAGCCAATTGATGTGTTGAACAGAAATGGTCGAGAAACGTTGACTGAAGCTTTAACGTTACTCGCTGCGACACGCTTGGCTACCATGCGCGACCCTCCAGAATTGGACAATGGCTTCTTGGTCTTGTAAACCAAAGCTACAGGGCACTTGCAGGAAGCTTGTGATGATGAAGCGACAACCCGACCATGGCGCGGCTCAATCAGTGAATAAATATGACCGATGGCTGTTGAATAAGAATTGTTTTAGGGCGTGTTGATCACTGGTAGGCCAGCGGGTTCTGCTGGTAGACGTAAACGGCACGCTGACCAGAAGTTATTCCTGTCAAGCCTGTCAACAGGCGGTCGTTACGGACCCGGCCAGAGACTGGAAAAGTAATTTTTTGCTGATGTTTGAGTCTTTCCAATTCATTAAGTCTATCTAGTCGAGTTTGTGTGTCGTAACATGTCATAGGCTTCAGTGAGCCGTCGTCTAATATCTCCCTGCCAAATGCCCGTGTCCTATGCAGATAAAACCCCGTATCCCTAAAAGTATTATTGAGAAGTGAAATGTTCATAATGACCCCGATTCAATCCAATGCCGATTCGATGAGCCGTCTGTTTAGCAGCTGTACTCGATGTACACACCATTCTTGTCGCCCTGCTCGAGGAACACCTTCGTGTTGCCGTTGGGGTTTCGCAGCGCAGCCTTGAGGTAGACGGTGCTCTTGCAGTCGATGTTACCAACAATATGGGTCTGCGCGGGCAAGTCATCCCAGTTGGTGAAATCAGCAGCGCCGACAGACTCCCCGGCAGTGTCAAACTCCTTCGCGGTATTGTACGTGATGGCCTTGCCGGGGAAGCCAGAGAGCTGCTTGAACTCGGTCAAGGCATCTCCACCCTTGACGATGAAGAGACGCTCAGGCTGCTCACCCTGCGCCCATCCAAGAGTGCACTTCTTAGCTTCGGCTGGAATGCCCGTGAAGACAAGGAGCTGTTCGATCTGCGATGCGTTGTTGTACGTTGCAACGTTGAAGCCGACGGACTTTTTCGCAACGTCGGGCGAGCCGGGGAATACGCTGTACAGGGCTGTTGGCTCCTGGCGGGCTGCTTTTCCAGTGGAGGGGCAGTTGCCACTTGCGCGGGGTAGTGCTGTAGGTACAGCACCAGCGACAGCCAAAAGGCAAGTCAGCGCAGTGAATGTGTTGGCGAGGAAAGACATTTTGCAGGTATCGACGTGAGGTAAGGTAGAGTTGAGGTGGCTCTGGAATGCAGACTGGAGCTCGGAACCGGTGGGAAGAATTAAGCATATTTATGAATCATAATTCCCAACCTCCGATCAACCGTGCATCTCAATCCCCCAAGAGCCAAGAGTTGGTCCTGTTGATCAGTGCTGCTGATTCGTGGCACAAGCAGGGATCGGGTGCAACTACAGCGAATCGTAAATCGGTGGCGGAGGCTTCTGTGTTTATGCGTACGATGCAGTAACAGCGCACCAAGAGGCCTAAAAATGGGGACCTCTCAGTAATCAGGCGGTCGGGGAAGGGGGCTGCGTCATGCTTAACACGTACAATATTTCCAATATTGGTCGCTTTTTTTGGGCCTTGAGGGCATAGCCGTGTGCAACAGTAAGCAATGGCTGAATGAATCGTGAGAGTTCACGGCAGGGAGCTGAGATGTGAGCTCACGTCAAGCTGCAGGTGTCTGAAACAGCAAAACCCCGCAGAGTTGCATCAGTTCGAAGGCTGGCCAACTTTGTAATCTTGTGGCCCGATGAAAACAATGTAGACAAAACACGGCAATCAACCATAATATTCCGTGGTCCAACGCTCATCGGCATTTATTGGATCTGCTGACAGCCCGGCCGCATGACGTACTGCTCGTAAACACAAGCCATGGACTCCAACCTACCCATGAATATTGACACAACACAAAGACAGCCCGCACTTGAGGCTTGGCAAACAAACAAAGTTCATCAGAGGCGTCGACGATGTCCACAGTAAACAAGGCCTTTCTGTCCTAGCCTTCATAAGCATTATCACAACTCCACGTGACATCGAACTCCGCTACAGTGGCTGCTCACAGTCATCATCTTCCGTAGTATAGTGGTCAGTATGCAAGCTTGTCACGCTTGAGACCCGGGTTCAATTCCCGGCGGGAGAGTTCCAGCCGCCTGTGAATACAGGCATATTTCTTTTGTCTGTTTGCTCAGATTAATTGATGTTTTTTTGGTGGCATTGTGACCTGCAATGCAATGATACTGAGTCGAAATGAAACTTGGTTTTAATGTTTTGTACTCCGTACTAACAGATAGCACGCCACTTTGGCTCTTATCTGATAAGCTTCTACCTGGATAAATTTTTTACTTCCACCATTTGCGAGGTTACCCTGTAATTAGCAGTTGTTGCTCATGCTCGCACGGGAAATGAAATGTTTCTATACCTGGCTATTATTCCAATTCCTCAAGACTAGCTTCTCGGTTGCTGCAGAACTCTTCCACTGCCTGCTTGTTATTATGTCCAGTTATCCATTTTATTCCTCGTCACCAGTGTAGTGGCAGACCTCCAGTTATTGTCCTTTCTGCACTGAGCCAAAGCTTAACGCTTGCCTTTACTTGTAAACCATGGGTTCGACTCCTCAACTGTTTAACGAACGCAATTGGCCTCTCTTATACCAAGCTTAACATTTGCAAGATTGTTCAGCACGGAAGATTGACCTAAGGGTCAACTCCATTGTCAGCGTGGTTCCTTGCTGCGTATATAGACCCAAATTTAAAGATCCCTAACAAGACAACGTGGCCGAGTGGTTAAGGCGATGCCCTGCTATCTCTTCCGAGACATCATAGGCATTGTGTTCGCACGCGTAGGTTCGAATCCTGCCGTTGTCGTTTTGTTTTTGACTTCTGGCCATCTCGTTGCTCTTTTGCTCAGTCAAAACAAATCGCATAAATTGTCGCGTTGTTGTGTTGTCGTGGTTGTAACGCCTCTGCATGTCGCGGCGCTGACACGTTGACGATTTAGCTGTAACGTTGACCAAAAGTCGATTTAATTCTGTAATCCAAAGTCTATCTCAATAATTTTATTTATTTTTTTATCCTTCGCCCATCCTTTTGCTCTTTTGTTCAGTAGAAACAAATTGCATGCATTTTCGCGTTATCCTGTCGTCGTGGTTGTAAGTTGTACAGTCTCCATCCGCTCTTACCGATTGCGTGGCATTGACGCGTTGGCGATTCAGCTGTGACTTTGGCTAAGAATTAATTAAATTCTATAATCTATAGTCTATATTTATGCTTCTTTTGAGAATTCAAATACCTCGTCTTCCCTCCACCAACCTCTATCATACAGCCACAGACCAAGTCCTTCAACAGTCCCTTTACTCTCTGCATGTCCCTCCTTCAAAAAGCCCATGCACTTCTGTACCTCTTCTTTATCATCCTGCTTGTTCATAACGGTGTAGTGACCTCTCCATTTCTCTCGTCTATCTTGATCGCTCAGAAAGGGCTCCCATTTGTCCCTCAATTCACTTCGTATGCTTAATGCCCTCTTCTGACCGGCATAGAGCTTGATGCCAACGCCCTTCCCCATTTCGTAAACGTCCTGATTTCCGACACCAATTGAGAATCTCGCTGTTCGAGCTGCGATGTCCGCAATATCTGCCTTGACCTCTGGCAGTTTGGAACCAGGTAACGCGTGGAATAGAGTGATATGGGCGTCGACCTTGAGCAACCTTGGAGGAAACCATTGCCTTCGCAGTGCAGTCATTTTATCATGGTGTCGCTTGTCGGTAAGAAGCGTCAGGATGTAGAGCTTTTCCTCGTCATTTGACCCCTTGGGAACATGAGCCTCGCGACGTTGGTGCTGGATATCGCTGGTCTGGTGCAACTCTGCTGTGCTTGTTTGTGACAACGGACTACGCCTTGCAATGGGATGCGTTGCAGGGACGGTTGTGACTGTCATTGCGGATTGGCCGAGGCTTCTCAAAGTGCAAGAATATCGAGATAACCCCATTTGTATAAACAAGACTTGGGAAATTCTGTTTAAATATGTTTCATGTGAAAATCCAGCACGCGAAAGTCCTGGTATGAGGTGTTGACGTCAACGATCTAAACCAGGGAAACCTAGCGTGCTCTTTGCAGCTTTCATATTCCTGGCAGATCTCCTTGACGCGGAGAGTTACCATCTAATTAGAAGAATGTTTTTGAGGTCGAATAAGTATGTATCACGATTAGATAGTTTCGCAAATGGCTGAATGCATTATTCTCTGGAATAGTGATTGCTTGTTACTTAGAATATAGAGCTATCTGTAGGGCGCCAATTGGTTGTCTGGTTAACTTAGGAACTTTTGATTGAACCGAGATATCAATAAATTCTTGCGATGATGTGCTCTGACGCTTCTTTGTTCTAGAGTCTTGCTGGCAAGGTCCATCTGCAAAGCCTCGAAAGCCGTGCCGGTGTGACACAGGGTCGCAATCATGAGAATGTCGTCATAAATCCCGCCAATCACGGATTGAGCTATTTTTGACTCATGCTTGTCAGATAATAGTTTTCGGAAACCCATCTTCGCTCTGTCCAAAACAAGCTAGCTTTGCGCTGTTCTGGTATTTATCGCAACTGACCCAATGAACAAGAGAAATGGGTCTTGTAGACGGGACCATGACCCATCGTAGGGGCTTCAGGGCTGAATGGCATGGGTGCACCTGCCCAAAACGGGTGGACTTTTGGTTGGACTGGTTACTCGATAGCGAGCTGTCACGATGCTCATTATTCCCTTCTCTTCAGTACAAGTAGTATCATCTGTCACTATCTGCGTAGTAGGAAGCCTCTTCCAGCAGTCAGCCAACATGCCTCAATCAGTATGGCTAGTAACAGCTACTACTTCGGGCCTCGGTGCCGCAGTGGTGCAAAATCTCACCACGAGAGGTGATAAGGTCATCGCAACGGGGAGAGGGGCAACGGAACGTCTCAAGCATTTGCAGTCTGACAATGTGTTTCTTCTTGATCTTGATGCCACTGCGCCTCGAGCTGAGATCACCGAGAAAATAAAAGAAGCATGGGATGTTTGGGGTCGTATCGATGTTCTTTTGAACAATGCTGGCATTTCGGCACCTAAGAGTATTGAGGAGGCAGAGTAGGTCACCTAACCTGGCATTGGAGGTAGATACTAACCGTCTCGCAGCGACGACTTTGTGCGTAACGTTTTCGACGTCAACCTCTTTGGAACGTTACATGTCACTCAAGCTATCCTGCCTTACTTCAGAGCCCAAAAGAGCGGCACCATCGCCTTCATTGGAGCTGGCGTGGGTTGGGGGCCGTTGCCATTCTTAGGCCACTACGCCGCTTCTAAGGCTGCCCTGGGTGCCTTTGTTGAATGCTTGGCTAAAGAGGTGCGCCGCTTCAACATTCGATGCATCATCTTTGAACCTGGTGGCTTCCCGTCTCAGCTGGGTCAACCTCGCCAAGGCTCAGTCGAAGGCTTTGGGAAGTACAAGCCCGCTATAGATGCCTATAATCCCGGGTTTGAGGAGTTGATGGACGTGTTCATTTCGGATATTGGTCCGAATGTACCTGGTGATATCAGCAAGCTTTCAGAGCGCATCGTGGATTGCGTTAAGGTTGAAGGCGCCAGTGCTGGAAGGCCGGAGCCGGTGAGAGTCATTCTCGGAAGTGATGCATTGAGGTTGATAGAGCAGAAGTGCAAGGAGCAACTTGAGCTTGCGAGCAGTTGTGAGGACGTCAGTCTCAGTACGGATCGAGATGAACATGACCACGTTGCAAGTAAGGGAATGCTACGTTTTGCATCAATTCTATAGTCTATAAGCGAACACAATGGTCTTTATGCTAGGTTCTGTAGACCTTTCCAGCAGAGCACTGCGGAGGCACTTCATCTCAAACAGCTCCTGGGACCTATCGAGGCTCTAACATCATGCTCGCGGTAATCAGGAAATGCCCATCGAGTGCATCGATGAAGGTGATTTTGGAGCTCTGCATCGAAGAAGGTCCTTGCATGTCAAGCTGTAGGCCATCGGCAAGAATGATCGCGTGTCGAATTCCCATCTCATCCCCGATCCATCTCAGAGTCTTGGATATGTACTTTCTGGTTGCGCCATCAACAATGGTGCAGCGAGCAAGGGCATACATAGGATGGAGAAGTAGTAGGCCCCCAACCAGTCGGTCTGAGTGGACAAAGGGATTCCCGGCGTTTGCTTGTTGAATGTAGGTCACAACATCTTGATATAGATGGAATGGGATGGACGCCTTGATCCCCGCAGCCAGGTCATCAATTCGTTCTTTATATAGAGGAACAAGCTCATATTGCCCAAGGGAATTGGCAATATGTATGAGATGGTCAAGATAGATGACATGTATCGAACGCCAGGAGTTCCATGCAGCTGCGAGATAAACTGTTGAGAAAATTTAGCTTCAAACTCATGTAAATGTGGTCGGAGCTTAAGCTCACTATCGAAGTATTTCTCAACTGGGCCGGTACAATAGAACGTAGCTTCATCTGATATTGCTGGATCTATCCAGACTTCACCGACCACTTCTGGGTTCCAGCTAGGGGGCCGGTCATAAGCCCAGTATGTAATCTCGTCATCAATCGCCAATAAGTCTCTTTGAAGCTCTAAAAGCTCCAACGCGGGAGGAGAGGGACCAGAGAGCAGCTTCTCCGCTCGACTTGTCAGAGGCGACATCTGGATGATAATGTCATCTAGAGATCGACGATAAGTATCATCAAGAGGAGGGCACAGAATACCAGTGCCTGTTTGCTGAGTCTGAGGATATAGATGTAAGCATGGATTTGTCCTTGATAGATAACGAAATACATACCATGGTGCCTTTTGTGACAAGACGCATTCCGGGAGAATATATGCTGACTTTCGATTCTGGTGCTGAGTACGTAATGCCTTTTGAAAGGATGGACGCGAGCCCTCGAACATGAACTAGATGCTTGGCCGGAGAGGCATTGTCACTTGCTACAAGCTAATACTGGTTAACGAAAAATTATCGCATGGCTGGTAGGAATTAACCTCGTATAAACCCAATAGGACTGCGGTGAAGAAGTGCTCTAGAGATGGACTCGTAGCTTGCTGCGACAAATCTATAGTGTAATCAACCAAGACCTGTCCATACTGTCTCCGAACCAAACTTATCAGCGAGTCTCGCCTATAACGGTTTGCGAGTGAAGAGAGAACAACAATTCTGGCAGCTCTCATTAAAGTCGAAGTTGGAGCAGAAGTAGCAAAGAGATAATGCATTCCATCGAGAAAGCCACGTGAATGGCTTCGATCACGAGACTGCACCACTATATTATCAAGAAAATTATCAAGCGCAGTAGCTTCAAGTATGAAGTCATTGCTTGGATGCCACCACTCTAACGGCGGCGTTGTGGGTTGATAGTGTCGAAATAACAACGAGGTGTCGTCTTTATAACCAGGACATCGCCTGCGAGACTTGACGCAGCGAAGGCAGGCCTGTTGAATCCTGCGTTAGTGTTTATTAGTTACAGGCTATGCCTGTTTGGTACTCACTGGGCGAGTCTCATCGCACTGTCACAAATGATTAGCAAGCTTGTCTTGATGGAGATCAGATCACAGAACCTTTTTGCGCCGCTTTTTGCATGTCTCGCACGCGCGAGAGACACCATAATTAACCATCTCAAGAGCAACAGTCTAGAAAAACTGAGGAAACTTGTGAAGCAGAAATTGTGAGTAAGGTAGATATTACAAAGCGGTTGCTGACAAGATAGCGGATGTAAGCAGCACCTTAGAATAGCTACTGCTGCCTGAGAATCACGTGGCTCCCTCAGCAATCTCCACCTGCTTATTCAAAACTCTTATCTATTAACAAGGCAGCTGTAAGGCCAAAGTGAATGTGGGATGAGGTCGCAGAGACGTCGAGCTGTTTTTTGACTTTTTGATACATATATACATACATATAGAAAGCTATCGCTGACCGCCAAGACTACTATGTCTTGGCCTCTCGCTCGACACTCAAGACCTCACAACTTCTGGTAGCAACCTCGATTAAGACATCTTCGGTTGAGGCCATCTACGCATAAGATATTTAGTACCTACCTAGCCAAGGGTAATTGCTATGGACTCAACTGTGTACAGCTGAAGATGATCGCTGTCATGGATGCAGGCGCAGTTCGGTTGAGAGGGGTTGTCAATTCGCCGAGCGAGTTTCCTTGTTTAGCGTTAATAACAGCTAAACTTCTATCCTTCGGGCGAATGGTTTAGTGGTATAATACTCCCTTAGCATAATTCATCTGAATAATCTGGGAGTGGTCCAGGGTTCGATTCCCTGTTCGTCCATTGTAGGTGGTTTAATTCCGCCATTATACCTCGTTTTTATTTTTTGCAATTTTTAATGTTTTGTGCCGGCGTCTAACTAGGGGATCGTTTAGACCATGATGATAAAAATAGCTCGGAGTTTTATTTGGACATTATGCAGGTCAGGTCTGGAGCTTCTGTCCCTAGTGCTGTATAAAACCTCTTGCTGGATACTGAACTAGGTTGTTATTAGTGAGGAACAATAGTAACTTATGTCAATGAACACTAGTATATGCTTGGCGGAGATGCAAGGGGATTTTATGTCACCGCAGAAGCGCCAATTGAACTTGCCTCCTAACCCTCCTTGACTATGCTGTGCAATAACTGTTATCAACTAGGGAGAATATAGAACATGGCCCCTTCACTTCCCATGAACCATGGGTTGAACATCCTGTTGCAATGGTAGCCAGGTTGAACACATTCCCTTGCTAGCTCGCGGGCTTGATGTGACTTTACAAGTCAGTAAAATATCAAGACCTTATACATGTTCATGCTGTCTACAAAAAAAGAACATACAACAGCGGGTATTCGCTGGTCATCACCGACCCAACTACTAGTCCGCCCCTCACTGGCTTGTCTATGGGAGAGCGGACGGGATCCCGAATTCTCAACAGTGGGTATGGTCGTATGTGCTGGTCAGTGTCTCTGTTGAGCTTTTGTTCATCTCGATTGTGCGTTCAGTCGCGACACTGATTCATCGTCTTATGGAGTCAAACAAACGTTCACTCGAACACTTACGCTCTGTTTCCCAGAGGCGGCGAGAGGTTCACAACCTTGGCAACCAATTAGTTGACAGAGGAGCCGTGACGACTGACAGTGAAGGCAGTGGCAGTATAATGGGCAACTTTGTTTGGCAGCGTCATGAACAACCACTGGTTCTTCTGCGTCAACTCGTGAACGAGATGCTGCCAGTCGTTTCAGATTCGCACCTACAAATATAGTCTTCTGCCCGCCAACTATTGGAATTCTATCCTCATCCGATCAGACAACACAACAGTCTTCCGACATTCGACACATTCATCGGTCACTGCATACCAGAACCGTTCGTTCCTCACCAATTCTTCCGCCCTGAGATTTACATCACCAGATCAACAAGAACATCTCATCCAGTCCTACATCATGTCTCAGTCTACAGGTGCAACTCCACGTCGGAGCATCCCCTTTCTTCCCCCGGAGCTCAGCCTTCGAATCATACAAGAGTCTGAAGAGACGCCTGTCTGCCTAGTGAACCATCTTTCCAGAGGCATGCTGCAATGTGACGGCGGCTTACAAGACCATACGACGGTCATCTACACCCGTGGCGAGAAACAGACAGACGGGGCATTGTCTCGTGGAAGGCTAGAGGCTCTTCCGATGCAGCATCGTTGCGTCGCGGGACTTATCCGGCCTGCAGACACACCCGCCCTCCCGTTTGATCCTTCGGATGACTATTCCCTTGAGCTTGAAATCAGCCACCTCACGAAACGTACGGTCGTAGCTGAGCTTGGTCTCGATGAAGACATAGCCAACCCAGTTCTGAACCTGGATAAACACGCACTCCCTCCTTACTATGATCCCCACAAGTTTATCAACATTCGATATGTCGGATATGATTTACTCAACAGACATTTCATCGCGACAGTTCCCATTGAGATTGGTGGCGACGACGATATTCGACCTCTCACCGGTATCACGAGAAATCAAAGCGCATTGACTCACCGTCTGCGGCCAGACGATGAAAAGCTGGCCTGCGAGAAAATGAAGCATCTGATGATTAGAGAAAGCAATCTCTCCGAAGGCCATGTCTTGGATACTCTTACTCAGCTCGCAGACAATCTAGTCACTGTGCAAGATGTCAATAGATGGAGCGCGCATCTGATTATCTATCGAGACGTGCTTCGAAGCTCTCCGTTGCATCCCAGATGGGAACTACTGACAAATCTCGAAACACTCTGTATTGATATGACTCAACAGATGATGCACCACAAGTCACCTCTAATGGGAGTTCAGATCAACAAGATGGCGCGTCATCTCAATCTCAAGACACTGATACTCCTGGGTACCCCATGTCGAGCCAGGTTTGATTACATGACTCCAAATGGAGAAGCAGGGGAGGAAGCTTGGGTTACCTATCTCGAGAACAATCTTGATCTCGGATATGACGCCACACATGGCAGAGCGATCAACTATCTATTCCTCTTCAAGAACCTTGTGCGACCTGGTGGCCAGATCCATTTCATTGCAGATCGAGCACCAGGCACCGCGTACTGGCCGGGCCCAAACGCTGGAGTTGGGATTATGGCTGAAGGCTTACAGTGATCAATGAGATTTGCCTCTATTAAACTTCTTCGCAGGTTGCTTCTTATTTCTGAGATTTGGTTGGGGTCAAGGTTTGGTAGCTTGGACTATCTCTTACTAGGTACATGACACAGGAGCCATCTTGCGTATTACAGGATAATGGGCTTACTGTGGACAGTATGTGTAGCCATGGATTAGAGATGAAACTATGAAAATACAAAAAAAGATGAAAAATTATGAGACACATACGTGCTTTCCGTTACTGATGCTAATTTGAAGGGTATTAAATGTGCGTAATTTCTTCTCTTGAGTTTGACTCGGATAGTAGTAGTCCTATTCTATACACAGACTGTTCTGCTGAAATCCAGCTTAATGCAAGACTGTCTTAGCCGATTTTTATTGCGAAATGTCTCTATTTCAAGCCCTTGGCAGCCATGATGAGAAACGCCAAGAACGACATAGCTTAACGTTTGCTTGAACAAGATGTTGCCGAGAGTCTACGAACAGCCTGATTTCATTGTAGTTTGGAGCTCACTGCCTTGCGAAGAGCCTGTTCAGGTGAACAGGATATAACCCTTTATGAACTGAGACCGCTAGCGTAGCATTTTTAACCTTATTCAGCCACCCGTTATGATGCATATACGAAGTTGGTGAACCTAATCGCCATTGGAAATACGGATATGAGATTGTTTCACTACACAGCCACGTCTTAGACGCCCACGTGGCCGTTAATAGGGTGTCTTGCTAAGAAATGAACCGTGCTGACGTTCCGGAAAAGGTGATGGCAGTGTAGCAATCCGCCGGGCAGAGTAGAAGCGACTGACATGTTACTGAAACAGGAAAGAGCCGAGTCTTGGGAGCGTAGGGCTGTGAATCCATCTGCTGATGGATCGATCTTGGCGCACTCGCTTCGGCCAGTTCGCTTGTACCTTATCTCGATATGCACAAAGGGACCGTCTGCCTAAAGCACTACGCAACAGACACCAAGCAAGTCCCTTGTTCTTATCACACAAAGTAAGCATGACGTGGTGAAGCAGGTGACCTTGTCCTGCAGGTTTAAGTGGTGATCATGTTTAAGCTTACACTGCCAAGACGCAAACTCGTATCTCGAAGTTTGTCGACCGCCGGCCCTGTCTGTAGAGCTTATCCGTCCGTGCCCGCAGGATTGTTAGACCGAGTCTCCGATCAGTTTCGGCCAGGAATCTCGACCCTGAGGACTGTGCCTTACAGGTGCAGATTTCCAGGAGCAAAAGCACCATGAGGGTCTCGGCCGGATTTGGCATGGGACCAATGCAAGCTCTAAATCCTGGTAAAAGTGTGATGGGGTCTTCAATTGCCCATCCAAGTTTGTACACGTCGTAAAGGGCATTGACCTATGAGGGGGCGTGAAAGCAGGCTATTTGATAAGCCAGCACAAAAGACTGGCCTCGAACAATGCAGTCAATAAAGAGCACAGCTAGCCTTGTGCGGTTTTGTGCAAGACTGCTGCGGCTGAACAATTGCCAAGAAGAGTCGGTGTCAATAGCCAAAGTCAACGGGCAAAAGTTTAGAAAGCAAACGACGTTGTGATCAACGTTTGCAGCGTTGATCGACACATCCACAACTGAAAATCGCATGCTTCATTTCATCGAGATTTTGTAATTCGAGCGACCTAAATGTGGCGTTTCGCTTCGGTAAGGGCAGCCGCTTCACGAGCGAGAAATGATTGATTGACATTGAGCGCGTGCGCGACCGTCAGCCTCTATTACGTTAGCCCGAACCACACCCAGCTGCGCCAGGAGGAGCGCTATTTGGCGCTAAGTGCCCTGTAATTGGTCAACCTGAAGGCTATTGATTCAACAGTGACAATCCCAGTTGGGTGACATTCAGATGCCGAGGCTGCCGTGATAGAGAAGAGAGGGTCTGTAAGCCGACCAACGCTTTCAGGCTCAGGGCAAGGTCCAGGTCAAGGTCGAGATTGTCGAAGATGAGATCATGAAGTTGGCTGACCTGTTGCTGTAGGTAAGCGATCGACAATGTAGGTACATTAGTGATATGATAGCCTCCAAGGTGACTGGTGAGAAAGCCAGACTATCGAACGATGATCTTTCTAGAGCCAACAGTTCTAGCTCGTCATTATGTAGAGAGAAAATAATGAACGGAGATGCCGCTGATTAAATGATAATTCACGATTGTCCCTTGTTGACAGTCGCGATGCAAGTAAAATGAGGCCATTGAGTTTTACGAGGTCTTCTGGGTACGTACCGGGAATGCCCCCTGTAAAATCGTATCAGAGTTCAGATTCAGCAGCGCCAAAACGGCACCTTAGCCGGAACCGTAGCACGCTGAGTGCACTAAAACTCAATAAGTTAGCGCTTCGCTACGCAACAGTTGAAAGTCCGGAACCCGTTCCCCCCCTCTTCTCTGCATAACAACCCCTGAACCATGACGCTAATCAAGGGCTCATAACTAACCCCATTTCTAACAAGGGCCGAAAATCTTCAACAGTCAACACGCTCTCCTCTCCCTCCCTCCCTCCCTCTTGAGTCTTGTCTTGCCTTGCCTTGCTCACTGAATAATTAACCGACCGTCTTGGCTTTGAGTCGAGGTGATCGGCCTTTTCCTATCTTGGTCGGCTGCCACACAATGCCTGCTCGGTCGTTTATACGAAGGTTGCGCGAATGGCAATTTACAAGGCACGACCTCGATTTAGAAGCCCAGACACACAGACCCTCGCCCGTCTGGGCCCATCCATTCAAGCTCCTCGGCCACTGTAAGTTGACGCTTATTTTTTGTCCAGTGTCGATAGCGTTGTCAATAGTCTCGAGGTAAGGGAGGGGGCCAAGATTTACAGCTGCACTGCCCAACAACCCAATTCTCCCTTGGTATTCAGCCAGATCCACGCTCACACCGCAGGATATGCTTTGCCTACGGTCTAGCCTTTTCTTTTTGTTCCATTGGTATGCCCATGCCGTAATACGGCGAGAGTAGTCTTGGTTAGAATGTGACCAACAGACTCTTGCGGCCTAGACCCCGGAGGTTAAATCTGTTGGTCACCAAATTGGCCTCTTTTATTTTCCTAGAAATACGAGATGTCGCTCGCTACCTTATTTCTGTGCTCAAGATTAGCTACTCAACCCCTGGCCCGCCACTGCATGTCACTGCTATCGCTCATAAAACCATTGACATCTGAATCTTTCCCTTGTTTGGTCGTGGGCGTCCTGTTCGGCCATCAAACTTCCACGCCACTCATTTTACCTTAATACCTTGTTTTCTTTTCCCTCCTTTACCTCTTCACTCTCTTAATCACCTTCAAGCTGCAAGGTCATATGCGCTTGTTAACCAAAATGGCAGCTCTACTGAGGAATCGTCTCCTCATCTTCATCTTCACCCTTTTGATGGTGTCGTACCTCATGACAACTGCTTCAGCTGCCCCAGCCGAAAGAGCAGATGTCCAGTATGATGTCGTCATCTATGGCAACACAGTCGCTGCGATAGCTGCTGCTGTGCAGACCAAGCGCATGAAGAAGAGTGTTGCTATCGTCTTCCCCGGTAACACGCTGGGTGGTCTGACAACATCGGGTCTCGGATGGACAGACTCCAAGAAGGGAAGCTCTATTGGTGGCATTGCCAGGGAGTTTTACGGCAAGGTCTATACCTACTACCAGAAGACCAGCCCATGGACACAGGAGACTCGCGCCAATTATATTGCACGAAAGATTGGAGCCCAGCCCGGCCCTGCTATTGACGAGAGCAAGAAGGTTCAGTGGACTTTTGAACCCAAGGTTGCTGAGTCCATTCTTGAGAAGTGGATGAAGGATGGAAAGGTCCCTATCTTCCGCAACCAACCCATTGATCGATCCAGCAGCGGTGTGACCAAGAAGAATGGCCAAATCACCTCTTTCAGAACTACCAAGGGAAGTGTCTTCCAGGGCAAGATGTTCATCGACGCCAGCTACGAAGGTGATCTCATGGAGGCCGCCGGTATCTCATACAGCACTGGACGTGAGAGTATCAGTGACTACAACGAAGATGCTGCTGGCTTCCGACCTGGTGGCACTGATCAGCTCTCAAAGGTTGACCCCTGGAAGAAGAAGGGCAATACAAGCAGTGGCCTCATCGAGGGTGTTGGCCGGGTTGTCAAGGATGCCGTCTCTATCAAGGGCAAGGGCGACGACTATCGCCTTCAGTCTTACAACTTCCGCATGACTCTCACGAAGCAGACAAACAACAGAATCCCCTTCACCAAGCCCGCCGACTACGTTGAGTCTCGTTATGAGCTCCTCTTCCGTTACTACGAATCTGGATACACTGGAACTCCTTTCACATCACAGCTCATGCCGAATATCAAAACTGATTCTAATGCTCAGAGTCAAGTCAGTACTGACATGATTGGTGCCAACTACGATGATGATGGCAACTACGCTCTCTGGTCTTATGACAAGCGCAGACAGGTCTACCTTGAACACAAGTCTTATACTCAGGGTTTCTTCTGGGCCATGGCCAATCATCCCCGTATTCCCAAGTCTCTGCGTGACAGAGTCAATGAATGGGGATACGCCAAGGATGAGTACACCAAGAACGGAAACTGGCCTTATGAGATCTACATCCGAGAAGGACGTCGCATGAACGGTGTCTACACCATGCGCCAGAGCGATATCCAGACTCCCCCATCCCGACCAAATAACAGCATCGGCATGGGTGCTTACTCTCTCGATGTTCACCAAGTCGAGCGAATCGTCGTCAACGGAGAGATCCGTGACGAGGGCAAAGTCCACATCGCTACTCCCAACCCCTTCAACATTCCTCTTCAGGCTCTTCTCCCCAAGCCTAGCGACGCGACAAACTTCCTCAACCCTGTTACCATGAGTGCTACTCACATCGCGTACTCAGCTATCCGCATGGAGCCTACATATATGGTCATGGGCCAGGGTGCTGCTACTGCGGCGTGCCTTGCCATCGACCAGGGAGTGAATATCCAAGACGTGGATATGTCCACAGTGATTGCGAGACTCAAGGCCGACAAGGCTGTGCTTTCATAGACTAGCGAGTTCTGATACCATTTTTGCATAATTAATTTATTTTAATAGGATCATACATCTTTTTCTTATCTCTAAGCGTGACCAGTGTATACTCCAGATAAGGGGAAATTGAGGCCTGAAGTCTTGACATCATGATAGAAACCATATTACTTCAATGATAGATCAGCAATCTTGGACAACTATTGAGGCGCTAACCCCCTGACAGGGCGTCCAAGTCTAAAAACGCCTCTGACGATAAGGAATTTCCCTTCCGTGTTCGAAGTTCGTATAATCGCCGATCAGCTGAAGTAGTGCGCCACAAAGAATGGCAGACGAGCTAATTTAGCATTGGAGCGTTTCAGTCCGACCGTTCAAATTAACAAACTATTCTGAACTACATTATAATTATGAACATACATAAGATGCGACCTTCCTGGTGCATAACATGATCATTCTTCGCGCCGCTGCCCGAAGCTTTGAAGGAATGAGTAGAGATGGTAACGAGTGAGACCCTCAAAGTCTTCGAATGACTCCTTGTCAGGTGCTCTGTTTATGTGCTGTGTCAGATACTTTCAAGTACCTGCTACTTCGTCTCGTGGATGGTAGCGAACCATGAGCTTCGGCTTCTGCCAGATCAGATGCAATTTTACATTCGCGAGCCAGTCGAGATCCTGATTAACAAGCTCCCAATCGTACTTCCAAACGAGCGAGGCCATTGTAACCCTCGCCTCTAGGTACGCAAGATTTATACCGAGACAACCTCGAGGGCCAAGTGAAAAGGGCTTACTAGCCTCTTTCCGATCTCCAAAGCCCTCGCCGATCCATCGTTCTGGCAGAAACTCATCTGGTCGAGTGAAGTTGCGCTCATCATGCGTTGTTGCGAATCCATCAACAGATACAACAACGCCTTTGGGGACGTAGTGTCCATCGATAGTGGCCCCTGTGCAGACACGCGGGGGACCAAATGGGACTGGAGGGAAGATGCGAAGGCATTCTTCAATGACGCCGTTCAAGTATGGAAGATGAGCTACAGCATCACCCGTGATGTCGTCTCGTGACGAGAACACTGAGCGCACCTCGGTCTGAAGCTTGGCCAGCTTCTCAGGGTTCTTCAGCAGATAATAAGTTGTGGCAGAAAGAAGGCTTGCTGTCGTCTCAGATCCCGCGATCATGAGAACCTTGGCCTGCTCACGCAGATGAACAAGATCCAGGTTATCACTCTCCTTCCTTAGGATATAAGCGAAGAAGTCTTCACGGTCACGGGAGTTTCCCATTCCGATTCGCTTCTTGATCTTTTCAGTTGTATGGATATCGATCTTCTCTTTAAGATAGCTTGGCATCACAGAAACGGCTAGTGTCATTGGGATCTTGAATCGGTTGATGAAGGGGAGAAAAGTGAGCGACGAGATGAACCCAAGAACCCAAGTTACCCATTCGCTAGGTCTCCATTGGTTCAGCGAGTCAAATGACTCGCCAAAAGTCAGATCGCCTTGGGATTCTGGTCAGGCTTGTCGGTGATAACGGGTGCTGAAGAGACTACTTACCGATAATGTCGAAGGTCAACCAGTTGAAGACCTCTGACATGTTAGCTCCTCCTGTCCCAGGTCCTGCATTCTGCCCAAGCCGTTCTAGGAGTAACTTGACGTGAAGCTGTACAGACTCTTCATTATCCCTCAAGGCCTTTGCACTGAATGCATGGGCGAGAGATCTTCGCTGCAGCCGATGATCTTGTGGATCTCTAGTGAACACAATGTCAGGGCGTGTGACAAACGGATCAACAGTGTAGAAGTTGTCACTCTTCAGGAACGTAGATCTATCTTTGGATACATGATTATAGATGTCTCTGAGTGCGACTGAAGACCTAAAACTGAGTTCGTTGGAGGCGGTTCGGACAACATCGCCGTATTTGCGATGCAGGTCTCTAATGTTATGAACATAGTACCCACTGGCCCAATTGTACAGGAACCAAAACTGTTAAAGGTCTTAGTTACGAAGGGAATAGGGAGCCAGGAGGACTTTACCTCACTGCAAGCAGCTATTTTGGGTCCTGGGAACTTTGCGAGAGGATGGAAGTACAACCTGTAGATGATAACGCCGATGATCCACGATACAAACTGCACCAGAAGCGTGAGTAAGTGTTAGGCAGATGAAAGAATGTACATACAGTGGCACCAGAAAGCATAAGCCCTTGAGAAACTGAGAGGTTGAGCATGACGGCTGGCTTAGAATCGCTTGGCTAGGTGAGGTTGAGGGTGGTTCGCTGTCGTCGTAAACAGAGTCTCGTCCACCATATATCCTTCTTGCAACCTCCAAATTGTGGCGTTCGTATTTCCTGATGAAGGGGATCATCGTGTGTGACTATTAGTGCATATAGGGTGCAAACTTGCATCATGCGGCGTGATCAGGTTCCACCAACGGTCTCTACGTAACAATCGGTGATGCGTTTGCAACTCAAGAGTGGCTACCAAGGCAGGGTCGTAATCATTACCAAGCTTAAAGGCTCTGATATGACCTGATATCTTGACCTCAATATGTCTCAACGAAAGGAGGAACGTGTACGCTGGAGTCTGGACTGAGTCATTGTATAGTGCAGCGAAGGGGTCGTTCAAGATGAATGAGAGTCCGGTATTTACAGCTTAAGGCTATTGACATACAATAAGGCAAGCGAATGCCGGTTTAACGTCAAAATCTGCGTATCAACATGAAATATAGACTATAACACCGTTTGGTCCATCATCACATCACATACTACCAGTTACCCCTCGCCATCAAACGAGTGGTAACCATTCACCCTCTGATATCCTCTCTCATCACCCAGAATAAGCACTATAGTCGCCTCATAGCTGCGGGGTCGACCTCATTCTCAACGACTTCATGCACTGTTCCTATTCAAAAGCAAAGACATCACACGCCTCACACGTATCATATGCTAATAGACTTTTGGCGCCCACCGAGTGTATGCATGTTTCACCCGTTGGAGTAATAAGCTCGTCTATTGTTGCATATGCGTATTGTTTGCGTGCCATTGGCGACAAGCTGAGCGCTCGAATGGGCGATTATTGCGATGCTTCCCACCAACAGTGCTAAGCAAGTGCTTTGATAGGCTATCAAGGCGCCTGCAAGATAGTGAAAGCGCATGTTGTCTTTGCACTCACATGTTGGCAATATCCAATGGTGTATCTTATCGTGTCACCTGCATATCTGCTTGATTCGCTTATATTCGTCCTTTTTCGATTCCGATGAAACAGGCATTCCGCAATGGATGCTTGGTTCTTACATGCATATTCACAATAATGGTAAGTAAGTAAGGCGATAGGTGTAATTACTACGATGTATGGAACTCTGCCGGATATCTTTCTCCGTGATAATACCCAATACTACCACTATCTTTCTACCCCCGCACCTTGTCGTAAAGTCATTGGCAGGACCAAAGAATCGCTTCTCGAGAGATATGTGATTGGGTCGCGGAAGTCTTCATCCATTCCGCCGCACCCAAACTGGGTCTGCTTCACCATGAGGCCGGCTCTGGCAAAACAAACCCCCCATCCAGCATGTTAATCACACTTCTTCCAATCATCATCCGTCCAGCCTCGTAGCTGTCAAGTTCGTCCTCTGTCATCATCCGTTCAGCCATCCAATACTTCCATAGTATTGCTACACCTGGTTTTGTCGCAAAAGTGTCACGAAAAAGACCACTGGCCCTTTTTGTCGTTGTTTCAATAAGTGACAGTTGAACGCCAAGCTGATCGACAAGCTCATTGAGATTGTGAGCATCGCTACGACTCTCTTGGCAAAGGATGTATGTAGCAACACTTACCTTTTGCAATTGTCGCAGCGTCGGTTTATTGAACGTTTTAGCTTCTCGGGCAAGGTCTTCTAGTTGTGCAGAAGCATAGCATACACTATGGGCGATCTTGCTGAGGTCTTGCCGGAACTGGCCACTGAGCTTGGCCCAGATCTCTCTTCTGGGCTCTTGTAGCTTCTGTAACCGGCTGAGTAATATATAGGCTCGGCTGAATATGTGATCCTCTCTGGAAAGAACGTCAGTATTCTCGGGGTAGCTTAGAAGTTTCTGTTCCATGCTGTCTTTCGCGATTTGTAAAAGTCTCTCTTCGTCGAAGTTGCAGCCAATGGCTTGTTTCAGCTGCTGATTTTCCTTTCGAAGGTTGGTAGCAGTATCCGCAGGTATATAAATTGCGTCAAGAGTCCGTGATGTCTCTTTGTCATTTACTTCCTGTATAATATTACGGATATCAATTTTGATGTCGTCGAGTTTTGACGCCCATTTACCGAATCTTTGGATCGGTAGGGGATTTCGTTCCATACACACACTGTCATATGATGTGCTGAGATAACTGCCGATTTCGATGTACATGAGGAACAGGAAGAATGGCAGGATCCAATGCCACCCGCCAACAGGCCATTCCTCATCATCATCTGGTTCTGGGTATTGTGTAGTGGGGTTGTTTCTGTGCATTTTTGTTGGATGTCAGGATATTTCGACGTTTGAATGTTTGGAATAATCGACTGTGGCAGTCATCGGGTTATCTTTCTTTTATTACTATGGCAGGTCTTTGTCTGAGATATCATGCGGGTCATCCTCAACAACCAGGAAGGCCTTTATTCCTTGGACAATGCTTTGACTTAACGTTCTGGTAGATTGCTTGAACGGAGCTTACCATTCATGTCAAGTATGTGAACATTGTTGTGTTCCTGATTTGCTCCATTGCTATGTCCCAAAACCATTCAAAGGCTCTTTGTCTGCCCTCTTGGATGGATCAACCCAGTGTTCATGCATCGGCTCCGCCCGTCGGCTTGTTGTTAGGCCGAAAATAGTAGGCGATAAGATAAAGCCGTGTTTACTGCTATAATTGCATCTTTCCTTATCGGTCCACTAACAATCCCCAAACACCAACGGCGCTCTCTCAACGACCTTGCAACCTTGTACTGTCCGTCTCAGTTCAGTTCTTCTCCCGATTTCAATACATGGAAGTCGCTTGAACGAAACATTGTTTTTTGCACAACCCTCTTGCTTTAACTCACCCCTACATCATCAATTTCCACAAGATTCATCGGGCGCATTAAATGCCGCAGCACGAATCAACAATATCCCCAGCGCAATCATCACGAATTGTCCATGGAGTGAATATCAGCCAAAAGCTTCAGTGCCAACATTGGTCTTCGGGTCTTGACATCATTGCCATCCGGCACAAATGCTGCATGGAGTACTACGGCTGTATTAGCTGCCATGAAGAGTTAGCAGGACATCCCAACCAAGTCTGGCCCAAGGCAGAGCAGCATGAGTTGGCCGTCTTGTGCGGCAACTGTCGCCTAGAACTGACCATCGTAGAATATCTTGGGAGCGGCAACCGATGTCCTGGGTGCGATGCTGGCTTCAATCCGGGATGCAGGAACCATTATGATTTGTACTTCGAGGTATAGCGATACAGTCACACGACTCGCAAAGCCGGGTCACTGTCTGCGTGAATCTCCGAACTTCTAGGTTAATCAAGACCTCAAATCACAATCTTTTAATACAAACTTTATCTCGAGCCATAAGTGAGCAAGCAATAATAGCTAAACGTATGGATAGAGGATCATTAACTTCCAGTAAGGAACGTCACGACTATAGTTTTGTATTTGAGTTTCGAGGAATACAAGTTATTAGTCAGCGGGTTTAGCTCAGTTGGGAGAGCGTCAGACTGAAGTAAAAACTTCAATCAATATCAAACGATATCTGAAGGTCATGTGTTCGATCCACATAAACCGCATTCTTTTTCCCTTTTGTTAATTACAACATCTTGTAACTCGGCGTTTGCCCTCATGCTGCAATCTCTTCCGCATGCTGTTGATCCATGGCTGGCCAGGTTAAGACTCTTGGTCCTCAGCTGCCCTTCAAGCTGACGGCCTGCTTACTTGATTGGGGCCATATCGCCGCATGATAATTTGCAAAAGACCGCGGCATTTGTCACTCTTTTATGTACTCAATATGACAATTGAACGTGCTGAATGGATAGGTTGTCGGGGCCTTGCTTACGCCAAGAGATCCTTCCGCTTCAATTTTCTCTGCTGACAGGCTCGGGAGATTAGGAGAGACCGAATGCACCTAGCGCGACAACTTGGACGATGTGCCGAGCCTTATCAGATTGAACTAACAGACAGCCGTTGTTGGTTCGCGAGTGTCTCAACAGACCGACTACTCACGTTTGCTTCTTTCTATTGCCTTTCTGCGTCCACAGTCGTCGGTGGCGCTACGTTGAATTGAGTCCCTCGACGTTGCACAGCATAAACAAGTCCTTGTTGCGGTGTCGCCCGATGATGACACGACAAGACCTGATTGATTATCAAAAGGATCAATCGTTAAATTAAATCTCAAGGATCATGATCGACGGATGCTTCCGCCTCCGTCTCCGTCTCCGTCCGCTGGGATCTGTACCCCTGCAGCCTCCACTTCACTTCACTTTATATCACGCTGAAATTTCCCATCCGTGCACTGCGAACTCGTGGACTTTGTTCAAACTCCTCTCTTTAACCATTCGAAACGTGTCGGAGCAAAGATGAAGTCTCTCCTCGGCCCTCTCCTCCTCGGCGCGTCGCGCCTTGCAACCGCGACAAGTGGTGCTGATACGCTCGTTGCCCGTGCAGAATCATCGCTGAAGTGGGAGCCTTGTAAGCTTGATCTTCCTGATGCGGCAAAGGAGCTACTGAAGGCTGGTGATTGTGCGACTATTGAGGTTCCGCTGGATTATACGGATAAAAAGTCCGATAAGACAGTTGAGCTTCAATTGATTCGCTACAATGCTACCAAGGAACCTTTCAAGGGCAGCGTTCTCTGGAACCCCGGCGGTCCGGGGATTTCTGGCATTGAGACCCTCGCTTATCTCGGACAGGACTTCCGCGAGTAAGTAGCCTCTATCACATTATCAAGAGTTACTGACACGGTTTCTAGCATCATGGGCGGCCATCACAACATCATCTCATTTGACCCCCGGTATGTTTTCCCCGTCTACTGAATTGAGCTACACTAACTCTACGCAGAGGCGTTGGACGAACCATCCCCTTTGCCTGTGGCAAGAATGCGTCTGCTGAACTCACCCGCCGCAGCCTGGAACCACTGCCCCAAGCAGATCTCTGGGAATACGTAAAGAACGAGGGCTGGCAGACCATGCAAGCTATTGCCGAGTCCTGCTACGAAACCCAGCAGGAGCACGGCCGCTTCCTCAGCACAGCCTTCACTGCCCGCGACATGATGGAGATCGTCGATGCTCTCGGTGAAGATGGAAAGCTTCGCTTCTGGGGCATTTCCTACGGAACTATTCTCGGCCAAGTTGCCGCCGCTATGTTTCCTGATCGCATTGGTCGCCTTCTTCTTGACTCAAACTCCTTGGCTGATGCGTACCTCACGTCAACTGGTGTTGGTGGGCCTCACGATGCTGAGAAGTCGCTTGTGCATTTGTTCACTGAGTGCGTGGAGCTCGGTACCAAGTATTGCAAGCTGGCCAACTACTCTGGTAGCAGCACTACTGCTGAGGATTTGAGAGATGCTACGGTTGAGACCTTCCAGAAGTTGAAGGACCTGAAGACTCTGCCTGATGGTCTTTCATCCAAGGACTACCCCTACGCTGGCAACTCTATCCTGAAACAATTGAAGTACGGTATTATGAACTTGCTGTCAAGCCCTTTCAATTATCCCTCGGTGGTGGAGATTCTGTCTTATGCTTTCGACGGAGACTATAAGAAGGCTCTCAGCATCTACAAGGAGGACACATCTGAGTGGAACCTTGGTACCAACGCATTCCAGGGTATTGCTTGCTCCGAGTCTTCCTTCCGTGTCAGCAACCCTGAGGACCTTTACTCTATGTATCAGGCTCATCTCGCTGGAAGCTCCTTCGGCGATGCCATCGCTGCTGACTATGTCGCCTGCGCTGCTTGGAAGTTCGACGCTGCTGAGGGCGTTGATACCAACACGCTTCGAAACGTCAACACGAGCTTCCCAGTTCTTGTTGTCAACAACGCAAACGACCCTATCACTTCCCTGAACCATGCTTGGCAGGTGTCTTCTCGTTTCAGAGAGAGTCGACTCTTGATTAACGAGGGAGTTGGTGTAAGTCTTTCCCCATCATTTTGACAGCATTTCACGCTAACATTTTACAGCATGGAGTCACATCGCATGCTTCTAACTGCACCCTTGAGGCTATTGCTGCTTACTTTGTTGACGGTACTCTTCCAGAGGTTGGTACAAGGTGCAAGCCCAACATGCCCGCTTTCAAGGTTGCTCTCCCCAACGCATAAAATGGTTAGCTTGGTGCTGCTGCAGAAGACGGTGAAGATGAGGATAAGGTTGTAAGACGTTTGTATCACTATATAGCTTGTATTAAAAAGGTCTGTTCCCAGAAAAGGAGTGATAACTGCATACCGCTAGTGCATCATCGGCCGCCCTTGTCTGTGCCACCTGATAACCATGCAAGCAAACAAGACATGAACCTTTTCAAAACGGAGTGGATCTAGGATGTTGTGAACCCGTCTTCAACAACGGGCAAGGTTAAAAATAAAACAGCAAAAGGTCTAGCTCGTATGCTTATCCAAACATGGTTATATGAATAAGCGGAGTTCCAGAACCTTATGGATCAAGGCAGTCAAGATTGTGATACCCGAACAGAAGCGTGACCAACTTTCGAGAACTTTGGTTCATGTTGCATTGCATATACGTCGTGTTTGACGATGTGACGCGTGGAAGCAGAATCAGCGGATGAACCGGCTCCCGCATCATGAGTATCGTGAGATTCCATCATAACCGGATTATCGGCGGGAAATGCGGGGGACGATGATGTAAACTGATCTCGACGTGGGGTCGGAGTTTTTAGCCGTGACTACTAAATTTAGGTATCGACGCTTGGAGGCGATCAATCGGGAGGCATGGAGATGGCCGCGTCATAAGTTGAATAAGCATAGGATAGGACTCATGGATACTCTAGATGCTGATTGTGAGGTCTGAGACATACATGAGATTTGCATCGCCTTGTTGTGTTGTGCTGTGAAGTGAGAGAGGTCTACCAGAGGGTTACAGTCATTGCTCGTATTTGACATCACCAGCATCACATGGATCGTCCCAATAGGGCCATGGTGCGTTGACACGGCACAGTCCAGCCCCGGCACATGATACCTGCTGCATATTTCTCAAGTTCCACTGATCGACTCTGGTAGCAGCGGAGTTAATTCTCTGCAAAAATGATTGGAAAAAGCGTCTGCTTGATCGGTTTTGGCCGTGTCGTGTGCGTGCTGGAAAAGATACGAGCTGTAGTGGGCTCACACTGCTGTATTGTTAGTGCTGACAGTGTAGCTCGTATCGCGGCTGGTTCTGTATCGGGCTTCAACTTTCAGCTGTACTTCCAGAAGCATCAGACACTTACAGCCACAGACTTGACGTAGTGATCTTCTCTCTTGGCCCATTATTGCCTCAGTAGGATGTAAAGTTGCGTTGACTATCTGAATTGTATTTAAAGTCGACTCCATTCCCGCAATAGAACAAACTCCCATCATCACTCAACAGCCATCAAGCCCTCAATCAATCACCCCGCACCCGCACTACAGCACCAAGTTAGCTCACAGTTTCACATTTCACATTTCAACCACCAAAATGCATTTTGCTACCATCATCGCTACTGCTGCTCTCGCCATGGGCGTCGCTGCTGAGCCTGCATCTGACGATCTTCCCTTCAACGTCATTTCTGCCCGCATTTGGAGCTCTAAAGACTGCGGAGGCGACAACAACAACGGAAACCTTGGCGAATTGACCACGCATCGTGATGAGCTCAATGAATGCTTCAAGTTCACCGACAAGGTCAAGTCTGTGAGCCAGTATGAGCATGCCAAGGGCTGCAAGCGTAAGAACTACTTCACTCCTAAAGATTCAAGATTTACTGACTTGTACATAGTTCTTCTCTTCACAGATGGCAACTGCAAGCGTGGACAGAAGAGTGTCAAGGATGACCAGTGCCGCGAGACTTCATCTCACTTCAGCAGCTACAAGACTGTTTGCAACTGAGAGTACACGACTCATGGGTTTAGATATAATGATGCATTAATGGTCACGAGACGATAAAGGACTAATGGTTCAGACAATAATGGAAGCATGAGACGGAGTTATGGACATTCCTTTGGCAAGAGGTCGTATGAATTAATATACAGCATTGAATTAACTAAGATTATGCACGCTTTCAACCAGATCCACTGTCTAAACTCCCTCTATGCTTGTCTTGTCTTCTAAGGGGCATATCCGGCATACCCTGGTTTCATATCTTGAACGTGTCGCTTAAGCAGTGCCCTGGGTGAGGTAGCCAGTGAGGCCATCGAAGATGTTGGAGACGGGCTGGACGATAGGTCCGAGGGCAGTGCCCGAAAGGGTGTCGAGGATGTTGGAGAGGATGTCGACGAGGCCGGGAACGATGTCGCCGATGAGCTGGGTAACGAGGCCGAGGAGGGTGGCAACGGTCTTGAAGAGGAGCTCAAAAGCGGTGCCAATAACGTTGTCGAGTCCAAGGATGCTCAGGACCTCCTTGGCGACACCGACAAGCTCGTTGAGAAGCTGGATGACGAGACCGAGAATAGTCTGAACGTCAGGGATGTTGATCTTGATGCTGACGACATCCTTGAGCTGGTTGACAACGGCGGTGAGGAGCTCGTTGAGGGAGTGGACTTCGGCAGTGACGACCTTGACGGCGACAGCCTTGGAGATGGCGTTGGACTTGACCTTGGTGATGACCTCCTCTGAGGATGTTGTTAGCAATCTATTTGTCCTAAACTCTATAGTTGTTTGACTTACTGATGGTGGTGGTCTGGCTCTTGACCTGCTCAACAGCAATGGTGAGAACCTTGACAACACCGCCAGTGTTGGAAACGTTGACGGCAGTGATCTTCTTGGTAACTGTCTTGGTGACGGTTTGAGATGTAGCAATGCTCTCAACCTGGGTGACAGCACCGTTAGGAGAAGCTGGGACAGCTGGGACCTGACGAGCAGCAACCTGAGCAGCAGGAGCAGCCATGGCCGAGGCGGCCAGAGCAGCGAGGGAGAAAAGGCTGAACTTCATGATGACTAAAAGCGTAAAGTAAAGAGTGACTTGGTGAGATTATGCTTTGAAAAAAGAGTGACTGGGTTGAGAAGTGAGAGTGGATGGTTGGGTGAGTGTCCAAACCGATTGACTTTTGAGTTTCTTATATACATACATCTTGAGTAAGACATAGACGAGCAACCCTAGATAGGAGACGATACTACACGGCATAAGCGAAAGTTCGATCTTCAAGACGTTTTTTGCACATCGGATGGAACCGACAGTTGGGATGGACTGGGGGAATGGTTCATCGCTGCTCCGTTTGGCTCGATGGTTGGTGTTGAAACACGCGATTGTGGAGCGACGAAACATCGCCAACTGCCGAGTCGATCGCAATATACAAAACGTTGGATTCCGCCAGAGATCGTCGTTCTGTGTTGCTAGAAGTATGACGTCGATGGAACTCTGGCGTATCATCGGTCATGTCGAGGTGCAGGGTCTTGAGAGTTGGGGATAGCTTCTTCTGTGACCTGTAAGGCTGTAACTTAACATTCAGATAAATTCTTCTACAAAACCGACGCATACACGTTTTTCTTTTTAAAGAGACTCCAAGGCAAACCACTATCGCCATATGATCCCCATTAGCTTGAGATGGCAAATGGCAATGAAATGTTGCGGCGCGGGATCTTCGGGATAGCACTCTCGCCAATGCAACGCCGATCCACCGTCGACTTGGTTTAATTACACCCGTATCTTGAGGGCACATTTGAGCGCCCATGACAAAAGCGCCCCGTGCTTAGGAATATCGCAATAGATAACGAAACCTCGCTCATTTCCATCTCGTTTTCATTTGTTCAACCTCCTTTTCCTTGATTCTGGGGCGGACTTTGATGGCTCGGCTGGTGTCCGAAAGGAGTACATCAAGTATGACGGTTCTGGATAAGCATAATAGATTACTGTGGAGTGTGGCTAGGGGAGGAAAGAAAACACAGGATCTTAACCCTAAGCAATAAAAATATTTAGGTAAATCTAGCCTAAGTTTAGGGGGCTCTTTTCTAAGTTTATTTAAATACCTTATATCAAGGTCCGGTGTTTTCTTGCTTCCCGAGGTCTGGGAATTGTATGCGTTGGTGTATAACCGTGCGGCTCATCACGTTGCCAGTGTGAGTCATGCTAGTGTAGTAAAATTCATCTGTCAGGAACCGATTCAAGGTAGACGCATGCTTCGGATGTCACGGGAGTCTTGGGTGATCCTTTTTATCTAAATTAGTGTTCCTATGTAAGCAATACGCACATATTCGAGCGACTTCATCTCTCTCAGACATTAAATGACGTCTTAGAGCAGGAGAATTGTGTTAGAGCTGGAAGAAGCATCGATCAAACTTAAGCATGGGCCTACATGATTACGGAATCTCCCCCCTGGATTCAAGCAACTTGATTATTCCGTAAAAGAAAGGACATTGACAATTCGACATAGGATCGTCGAAAACTTTCAGAAAGATAGCCCCGTGAGGCAATGGTCTAATCCTACATACCCCTGATCGCCACGCGAGGAACAAGGGAAAGGTCTAAGCGTCAAATGTTACCCTGACTCGCAAGATATGACAAACCCAATCTACAGGGTAATCGAGAGTCAAATAAACATAATGCTTATGATCCAATTGAGTTTCTCGTCAAAAATCTAGTATTGGTGGTTTGCTTGCCGATTCCTCATAGTCAAACGCAATGGTGACTCTGTTGTAGACAGAAACCCCTTTCTTCCTATTATCAGTCCTCTTTTGGCTTCTGAGCGTAAACAACATAGCTGTAGAAATGTTAGAATGATCAAGAGAACCAAATTTCTCGCTGAAACTAAGTGAAGATTGTTCAGGGGAAACTTACTAAGGCCAATAACCATGCATCCTTGGATTCTTAATTTCCTTTCTCAAAAATGCAAGGAAGACAGTGACTTCTGCATCCGTCCATCCAAGACCTTTCTGGAACATCCTCGTTACCATCGCTTCGAGTCCACTTAGCAGATTCTCCATCTCCCAAGCTCCCAGGAGCTTCATGCGCGGATCTTTGGGCCATGGGTTGAACGGAAGCTTGAAAACGCGCTCTGTGACATTCTGGTATCCGCGTTCTTCAAGCCAGCCCTTCCATCGCATTGGATCAGTCAGACTAGCACCGAATTTTGCAGAGCCCTGTTCCATCATTGTTGAGAATTTGCGGAGATAGCTGTCTTCAGGAATGGAGTCGTCGTCGCAACCAAGAACGCCGACGATGGCTTGGAACTCGACCCATCCGCCTCCTCGAAGATGCCTGGTGGAATTAGTTGCTGATATCGCATGCGAGCAAAGTTGGAGCTTACGTGTATGTTTGGTCAATCAGGGCTGGCCAGTCTCGAATTGCTAGCAGAAGATCTCGGGCATAAACAAAGTCAAAGCTATCTTCTTTCCATGTCCATTCTCTTTCAACATCGTCGACTTCAAAGTGGCAATTCGGTGGCACCCTGTCAGACATCAGTTCCAGATAGTCTCACAGTTGTGCTCGCATCGATCACTTACCAGTCAGGTTGCGTCGGTGCAACATCCGTCCCAATGACCTGAGAGCTCGTCAGTCACTGCTCACCCGATGTAACCACGGCAGCAAGATCCTGTACTCACCTCTGCAGATGGAAATTCTTCTGCCATTTCGATTGACCATATCCCTTTTAGCAACCTTGTCAGCAAGATATTCTTTATCGATGCAATGCTTTCACAAGAAAATGAAAGGAGGCTTCACGAACCTGTGCCGCAGCCAAGATCCAGAATTCTCTGGGGTTTCTCTAGAGGCGCCAAATAACGCTTCTTTCCAATCAACGCACAGTATTTAGCATGGCACATATCGATACGATCAAGCTCAGCCTCGTCCATTGGTAATCCATACTCTGAAATTTGTTAGAACCGGAGAAGCAGATTTCTCTGGGAGACTTGCCCTCTTTGCCATACACGGCATAGGTTCTTCCGCCCTCGACTTTTCCATGTAGAATAGACGATGTCAGAGATGTCAAAGACGACCGCTCACTCTCATTATCATAAGCCTATATTTCACCAGATCGTTGGTTAGCAAGTGGAGCCATCTGGGTGAGTTGCATCGTTGAGTCCACTGACCTCATCGTCAGTGACATTCTGCAAAGCCTAGACAAATCTGTTTAGTACTGTTTCAGCCCTACAGGGAATAGACTCACAGCGTCAGGTTGTATAACCTCTTCTTGGGGAGCACGAGGAGACGACATTGCGACACTGTTAGTATCACAAATGTTTGTGCATCAGCATCATGCAAAGTTGACACGGTCAAAGGGAGAAGTTAAGCAAATATCAAAACAAACTCGCCATAGTGATAAGTATCCTCGATATTGCGATAAAGGCCACGGGGCCAAGCCTCCCGCCACTTGGGTTGGGCCGTGCCGCAGTTCAAACTCCAGTTTATCACGGATATAACATGCTGATTGGGTCGTGATCTGCATGGTTGAGGCACTTTACCCGGGATCACAGAACCTCGGCTGGATATATACCCACCTACTAACCTGTCTTGTAAGGAAGCGAAGGCTCATGGACTCATATGATCTGAGTTCTTTTCTTGGCTGTTGGTGGTGCCCCGCCTGGAGCACTCTTAAGTGAATATGCTATTCACATGGTCTACGGAACATGCGGTGAAAGTTGCCATCTCCGCGAATTGAGACCCAGCAGTTGGATCCTTCAGGCTACATCTCGATATCTCTGATATCTCGAATACTTATAATGGTACATCCTAAAGCTGAAAAGGCTCTTGAAGAGGCAAAGAAACTAGTCGCCCAGCTCGAATCATACGAGGATGATCCCATCAGCCACCAAAATGTCCTCAAGCAGACGGAATCCGTTCGTTCAGCTTTCCAGGATCCCATGGATCAGATGACACACCTAATGGAGCAATTCAGTCTCGGATGCGCTTTCCATACCATTCTTGGAATTCGGGCATACCACGCCATGCCCGAAGATGGAAGTCCCATCGCCGCAGAAGAATTGGCTCGCATTACCAATGTGGCTACTACTGTGATTCAGCGCATTTACCGTGTTGCTGTCAGTCATGGTGTCTTTGTTGAGGCGGCGCCTGATACCTATGCTCATAATGAGCTTTCAAGGATTCTGAACCCCAGGGGGCTGGGTTCATTTTTCATGATTGTGTTGGAGTTTAGTCGTGCTTGGATGCATCTGCCTGAGTACCTCAAGTCTCACAAACCCGAGGATGTCTTTGATCTCACCAAGTCCCCTGCCGTGTACTCGGTCGGCAAAGAACATCTTGGAAAGTCATACTATGAGCTGTTAGAGATGGATCCCGATCCTGAACGACGTGAGCTTTGGAACGCCAACATGGTCGCAGTTGATGAGCTGATGCCTGTCTTCGGCATGTTCCCTTTTGAATCGCTCAAAGATGAAGTCGCTCAGGATCCTGTAAGACCTTTCTTGGTGGATATTGGTGCGGGCCGTGGTCAGTCGTGCATCGCCATCCGCAAAGACATTGGCGATGCCTTTGACGCGAAGTATATCCTACAGGACCTTCCTGGTGTCATTGATTCCATGGATCCAAAGGACTATCCAGACTTTGAACTGATGACTTACGATGCCTTTACGCCGCAGCCTGTGAAGAGTAAGTGACTCCCTGGGGTCCATGAGCGCATCGCAGCCACGCCCCTGGTTCATAACAATGACTGACCGTTCGCAGACGCCCGCATTTACTTTATGCGCCGCTTCCTTCACGACTTCTACACGCCAGTCTGTATCGAATTCGTGAAGAACACCGCATCAGCCATGGGGCCCGATTCCCGTCTGATCATATGCGACCAGCTAATTCCCGACATGGTCGAGAAAGACAAGTTCACGGATCTGTACTGGCTCGATTTTGCACTTCTCGCCATGACTGGCCAGGAGAAGAAAAAAGCCGATTTCGAGGAGATTTTTGAAGCTGCTGGTCTGGAGCTGGTCAAGATTTACCCATCTGCCTATGGATGCACTGCAATGCTTGAGGCGAGGTTGAAGAAGCCTGAGTAGGCGTTTTGGAGCTCGATGGCATGAATTTGATACTGAAATTCGGTGGCTACTCTACTTATACGGTGTTCTTAACTAGTTCATTTGATGTCAGCTGCGCAGCCCAGCTGTTAGAACGTTTATATCAGACATGAACGCTATAGTTCCGTAAAGCTGTCAGCAAGAACGATGTAGCTATTCTCAACAAATATGACGTCTCCCGCTATGGCCAACAGTTTTCAGTGTCAGATGTGTCAGAGCTGTCTTATACAGATGCTATGTCGTCAACGTGAACCTGTCGTCTGTCATCCTGATGGCACCTATCACGAGCCACTAACTAGCCCTCAGTCTCACATAGCGTCCTCCCGTCTGTGCCACATTTATGAATGAACAGTCAGCTGCATAACTTACGCAATGTCCGAGCGTATTTCATCCCGACCCTGCCTAAGCCATCTGCATGTCTCTGCAGGAACGAAGTGCTTTCCCGTATGTGCCGAACATGGCTTGCATTCGGGTGAGCCACAGGGCTGCAACATGCATTGACACGCAATGTAGCTATTTCTGTCGCCTGATAGCGTCATGTGCAATATCTCTGCAGCCATTACCCGTGAAGCCGCAAAATTCTAATTGTGAACGTTGTGCACCTGGTTCCCGGGTTCGTGTGAAATGTCTTAGGGATCCCGTGTTCTTGGTATGTCAGGATATCCCGGCGCAATGGATCAAACATCAGCCTAAAACAATTTTGACTTCTCTTGGTTCGTATGTATTGCGTTCGTGAGCATACGCGGATTACGGTATGACCCGATCATGAAGGTTGACATGGATCTTAAGATAAACTTTGTCGGCATTTGAATAAGGTTCTACTATCTCTAGTATCACAGTCACGAGACTGAGCGTCAGCTCGGCAATTGATTCATTGCCATTATGCAGTCACATATGAAGTTATCCAAAAAAGAAAAGAAAAACTTCATGCAAGAGATTTGTATTATTAGATAGTAAAAAGACGTCGGTGTCAGTATATCCAACTGCAATTGGTATCAAAGTATATACATAATGAATCAGGATACTTGTACTATCCTCGCTAGTATTATTATAAACGCAAAAAAAAATCACTTTATCGCAGTAGACATTAGATCAGTTTGTGACCTTAATGGTGCTGGCAACGCTGGGAACACCAGCGTTGTTGATGACGAAAAGCATCCAGTAGCCAGGGAGGGCAATACCAGAGTCATTAGGAATCTTGAAAGAGTACTTGTTGGTACCAGCGCCAGTCAGGGCTAAGGGAATGCGGCGCTGATCAGTGTTGACAACATGTGTCGCAGTTCCGTATCGCATAAGAGAAGCGCTCTTGATGGCGCTGTTGGCAGTGACGGTGATGGTGCTGCCGACCTTGGCAGTAGTGGCCGAAACAGCAGTGATCTTGGGGCGGGTAGCAAGGTTACCGTTGCCATCAAGGAGATACTGAGGGGTGAAGATTTGAGCGTCAAAATGGTTACTCTTGCAGCTACCGCAAAGACCACCGCCACCGTTGAACACAGTGCCATCTGGCAGCAGCAGAGACATGCTGTGATAGGTGCGGGGAATGGTGTTGGGTTGTTGCTTGGTGAATGTGTTGGAGGAGGAAATGAACATCTCGGGCTCGAGCTGGGCGTTGGTGTCGGTGAAAGGGTTGGAGTAAGATTGGCCACCAGTGATGAAGACGTTTCCGTCAGGGAGAATGACAGAGGTAGCGAAGACACGAGCGTGGATACCAGCACCGTTGTTTCCAACGAGAGCGGTTTGGGCAATGGCACCAGGCTGGTCAATGGTAAGGACGTGAGCGTTGGCAGTGGCAGGAGCCTGTTGGTAGCTGGTAGCACCGCCAAATGTGAGGATCTTGCCCTTGACGGCATCAAACATGGCAACGTTGCCGTTCATAGAGTCAGGGTCAACTCTGCCGTTCTTTCGTCGAGTACCGGCAGCTTTGGTGTTACCCTGAGTACCCCTATCGGTGTAGTACCAGTTCATGGCTGTGCTGGGTCCAGCCTGGAAAACACTGCCCTTCTTCCAGCCAAAGAGCCAAGCATGGTTGTCAGCCTTGTAGACACCCTCCTTGTCCTTGGTGAGCATAGGGCCGACGAGACACTTGGGAAGAGATGTCCAGGTCTTGGCCTTTGGGTCATAGATTTCACCGTTCTTACCGCCACGGGCACCGCTCCACGAACCACCGATGGTGAAAACACGACCGTCAGAGCAAGTAGCAGATGATTGGTAACCACGAGCAATCTGCATATCAGGGCCAGGAACCCAGTTACCATCAGGCATGAGAATGGTAGTCTTCTTAGCGTCGTTGCCGCCAGTAACGACAATCTGTCCCTCACCGTCCATGGAAATACCAGGGCAGAACATGTCGTGATGGTTGTTGGAGACATTGCGGTTGGAGATGACGTTGGTCTTGGGATCCCAGATAGAAGTGAGAGTGAAGCCGCCGCGGGGAGTGGTGCCTTGGAAAGCATCATATCGGTAAGCAGACCAGATGACGACCTTTCCAGAGACAGGCTCAACGGCACCAGCGACGGGGATGACTGGGAAGTCAATAGTAGGACCCCATTTTCCAAGACCCTTAGCAGGCGGGTTGTACTTGAGAGCATTGTAGACTTGAAAGTCGGCAATAGCAATCCAAGGATAGTCGGAGTTCACGTTAGAGAGGGCAACAAAGCGGAGATAGCGAGCAGGATGAGTCTCAAAGTTCGTGATCCAGGGGTACTTGTCTCCCCAATAAGTTCCAAAGGCAACGGGCTTACCCCAGTTGGTACCGTCAGAGCTGAGGTAGACTTCATGTCGACCAATCCAGTTACGGGTGTTGCCGTCTTGGCGAGGTGTAATCTGGAGACCACTGACATACTGGGTCTGCTTCATGTCAATGGTGATGGTGTGAGGAGGCGGCGTGTTGGTTGTGCCATATGGAGTCTGCCAGAAGGTGTTCTTGTCACCATCGATGGCTCTACCGCAGGGGAAATTTGGAGCCTGGCTGGAACACTTGACAGTCCATCCTTTGCGGTCAATGGGGTTTGAACCGACTGGGGGAGCAGCAGCAAACTTCCCAGGCTGTTGTCCCTGCTCCTCAGGATCAATGGCAGTGGCTGCATTGAAGAAGGCACCAAGGCACAAGGCCAAGGTGTAGAAAGACTTCATCTTGGAGGGGAGATAAGCGACAGTCACAAGCCTAAACCAAGAGTGGCAAAAAGAGAGAAGAAACGAGAGGGAGTGGGTGAACGAGCGGGCTGGAGAGGGAGAAGAAAAGGGCTAGGAGACGGACGATGCATATTTATTGATTTCGTTTTTATTTACGACGGCCCTAAATAGGTACATGCAATAGACGTGCACAATATGCAGCCCGATGCAGTGTGCACACCCATTCTGTCTGTTCAGGCGTTACTAAACATGGACAGGACGGGTCAGAAAAAACAGAGTTGGACATTTTATGAAGGGACGGGCTGAACAAAGACGCACAGGCGGAAAAAAGTGATCGGGTGCCGGGAACTGCGAGTTACATTGGCCCGTTCAGTTGAGGCGTCGATGCTTGGGCAATCAGAAGCAAACTCAACTAACTTGACTGCTCGGCTGGGCCAGGCTGTGCAGTGCGTGCCGTGCTGTACACCAAGTTTAGTTTCAAGAGGCCTGAGAGGGAGCTGCCATCTCGATAACTCACACCACGAGATTGGCCGTCGTTTAGCCCCGAACACAGCAAAGACTTTGCTGCAGGCTAATGTGAGTATGTACAGTAGGACCCCTGTAAGCTGAAACAGCGAGACCAATCAGTGGATGTGAGTAAGATGCAGCCATAAAGGCCAAGTGTAAGTACATCGTCATTTATTGTGTTGGGGTAGGTACTTGGAGGTTAGTGTGTTGGGCTGCCCGGGCCGGGTCTGCCTTGGTCTGGGTCTGGGGCTGGCTCTGACTGTGACTGACTGATGATGCCCAGAGGGGTTCGTATACACGTGTGCGAGATGGATGACGTGAGACAGAGAGAAGAGAGCTCACGTGCATGAGCAAGAGCCAAAGATGCTGACTGATTGAGTGATTTAACATGTCCCCCTGTTCTCCAAGTTCACCGCTGAAGTGACAGACAGTGAGTGAGTGAGGTGAGGGGGAACCTTTGGTGCTTGCTTATTGTTGCAACCAACTTGAGGCTGCAATATTACATATGAAATCAATCAATGACTGAAGCGACGTGCAGATCGAATGCAAGTCGGTTCGTATAGACCCTGCTCGTGGCGCAAAGAATGCTTATTTTGGGTAACGAGACTGGCCAAGCAAACACTTGCACGTTCTCGCCCCAAGACAAGAGTGTCCCAAAGGCGTACCCCGCTGCAAGGTACCCCTGGCCCTGGTGATCGGCCTAACGAGAGACACTAAGAAACCGTTGATTCGCTAGCTCGAGGATCTCATCACGAGGGAGCCTGAATGGTCAGCGGAATTTATCCTCCCTCTTCTTGTCTCACCCCCCAAAAAAAAGAGTGAAAAAGTTAGCCCGAGGCGCCGGTTAAGGCTGGGAAGATTGGCCCAAGGATTCCGGGAGAATGGAGGACAATCATACAAGGGTCGGCGTTACATCTGACGTCCTTTACTCCTCAGAACAGAGCAGAGATGAGATGAGAGAAAGAGAGAGGCAGCCGCCACTTAATTTCCATTACCGCGCCGTCAACGAGAAGTTCCGCACTACGGGCCATTTCATGACACGATGAACAAGTGGCGTCTCTGATCACAGGGGCTCAATCTTGACCTTGGCTCCCGATCGCCAGGTAAGGTAGTTACCTAGTCTCCTTAGCTCCTTGATCCGCAAATTAGCACCCAGATTTGAGACAAACTCCACTGAATCGGCTTCCAACGAGAAGACGGTATTCGCAAGATGTGGACTCTCCATTACCTAAGCGCGAGAAATCTGCGTTTCAAAAAGTCCCATATTTTGTTATCGCAACAACGATGACGACAGGGTAATTCCACTAAAATAGATTTCTTGTCCAACCTGAAACTGTGCAAAGTTTACACGAAAAGTATCGCGGCAAGTGGCCGGTAAATTGCACAGACGATGCACGATTCATAATTCTAGCCAAAAGAATATTTACTATTGGTCAAATCGTAAAGCGGTCCCCTATTAAGGTGCAGCACAGCCTGGTCAAAAAATGAAGATCGCCCATGACAGATCAGAGCTAAGCAACCCCCGGCTGCAACCTCGGCTCTCCCTCCCTCAGATTGATGTCGGGATAATTATCTACGAATCGTATGATACTGGTCCCGCGACGTCGTGCTCACAGCCCAAATCGTCAGTGAAGCAGACAGCGTCCAACTTATCGCTCGCAGACCCCAGCCAAATCTTGAACTCCCCATCAAGGACAAGCCAGTCCTGAGCCTTGACATCCCAGACGCTCAAGTCCTTCCTGGTCAAAGTCAATTGCACAGTTTCGCTCGAACCAGGCTCTAAAACCTTGGTCTTCTCAAAGTCGCGCAGCTGGATGACGGGTGTCTCGTATCCGGCAACGCTCGGAAATTGGACGTAGGCCTGCACAGAAGCTTTGCCGGAGAATTTGGAACCTGCGTTAGTCACCACTACGGACAAAGTATAAGCTTCGTCCCAGAGAGCAGGGTTGCCGCCTGAAACACCGCCCGCCTTGGGCAAAGCCGTCTTCTGCGCGGTGGAGTAGCCGTCTGGGTAAGGGTATTTCGATGTCTCGGCTTTGGCGGCCGCGGACTTTGCGTCGGATTCGGAGAGCCAAGAGTAGAGATAGCGCCAGATGGTGTTAAAGCTGCTGGGTTTAACAGCTTCTTTGTAGTCTGGAATGTCTTGCGAATACTCCAGCACCTTTCCTTTTGCGGGTCGCTTGGGAGGGTACTGGCTTAGCTGGGTGCCTCTCTTGATGGTCGCATTCGCGTACGTGAAATTGGTGTAGCTGAGTCCATGGCCAAATGCATACCGAGGTCGAATCTTTGCCTTGTTGAGCCAGCGGTAGTCGATAAACAGTCCCTCGCTGTAAGTATCTTGCGGTGCATCGATAAAGCCAGAGTCAATGAGCTTGGTGACACTCTCGGGCATGTCGTCTTCCTTCTTGGTGATAGAATAGGGTAAGTGGCCGCAAGGCGACGCGTCACCAAACAAGATGTTGGTGAGAGACTTTCCAGCCTCTTGCCCCGGAAGATGAGCGACCAAGACAGACCTGACCGATGGAAGCTCAATCCATTGGTCGACGAGGACAGGTCCGACAGTGTGAATGACAACGACGACATTCTTGTACTTGGCGGCGGCAGCTTTGATAAGTGCATCACCGTTATGCCAAACATTCAACTTGTCCGCATTCCGATCACCATTGTTACCCTCGACCGTGTACTGATTCTCACCCGCATCAGAAGTAACGAAAACAATGGCGACATCGTCGTCGGAAGGGCTTGGAACAGATGGAAACTTGTCAGTGTTGTAGAATGTCACGTCTCCGGCCTCCTTCTTGATAGCGCCGATGGGGTCATCGAGGTACATGTAGTCGACTGTACCCGATCCCCAGCCTTGACCTAGCGTGCCCTTGTTGCAGCTTCGATCAACACAGGCATTGGCGCCATCGGGATTGGTTTGTGCACCAGTGCCGAAGACCTTGAGTGAGCTCTTGGTGCTCAGTGGAAGAAGCATGTCGTCGTTCTTGAGGAGAGTGATAGCGTCTTGGGCAATTTGTCGAGCAATCTCGTCATGGTCGTCCTGAACTTGAACATACTGGTTGACAACTCCCGAGGGCGAGTTGGGCCATGCTGCTGGATACAGAGGGCCGACTCTGTCGTATGTGTTGGTGTCAAAGTTGACAGAGGGAAAGTCTTTGTCTTGCTGGAACTGATACCAGGTTGCGACGATACGAGTAGCCATATCGTTCAGTCTCGACATGGGAACGGAGCCATTGAGGGCCGAGCGGGTTAACTCGTACATCCATAGAGAATTGCCAAAGAGAGGGATGATGGTGTCACCAGGCATACTCATGTCCATTCCTGCGATGGCTGATTGCACGCCAGTGATCTGAGAGAGCCAGTCTGTCATGACGAAGCCTTGGAATCCGAGCTCCTCTTTCAACAAGGCGTTGATGAGATATGAATGCTCGCTGGATATAGTGCCGTTGACCTATAATTGTTAGTCATATTGAGTGAGAAGGGTTAGATAGACCAACTCGGTTATAGGCTGTCATCGTCGCCCCAACTCCAACTTTTACTGCCTCTGCAAAAGGCCAGAGATACAGCTCATGCATAGTTCGGTCATCTGTGATGGTTAGCCACGCAAAATCAACGACGAGGAATGATCTCACCAATGTTTGCCGAGTATGCGGGAGATACAAGATCAGTGGTCTGTCGTCGATACATCTCCTGCTCATTTCCAATAAGATGCTTGACAGTAGCAATGACTCCCTGCTCCTGGACACCCTTGATAGTCTCTCGTGCGCCAATAGCTTGTAGCGATGGGTCTGTTCCAAAGCCTTCCCAGTTGCGTCCGCCCTTTGGCTTACGCCCGATAGGACCAACGGAGGGACCAAGCCAGACGTTCACGCCCTTACCGCGCGCTTCCTTTCCAATTGCTACACCGCGTTCATACATGAGCTTCTTGTCGAAGGTTGCACCGGCTGTGATTCCGTCCGGGAAGGCAGTCACGTTGTCGGCTAGTCGCACGCCGCTGGCAGCGTCGTTAAGACAGAGTTGAGGGAAACCAACGCGATGAGCGGATCCAGTGTTACCATTGCAAGGCCTGTTATGTCAGTATACATAGTCGTGTAAAGTGTAAAGAATCGTACCCTAGTAGCTGTTAACAGGAGTTCCGCTTCACTTGCCATGATTCTTACCCATAAAGAGACCGGTGCCAGCTGTGATATTGGTCTTTTCAGCCAATGTCATAGAATCAACCATCTTCTTAGCCCTGGCATAGCTATCTGCCCAAGCTTCATCCCATCCTCCGTATGGAGCAGGATAGTATGGCGCAGCAACAAATCCATCCGCGACGTTGTTTGCAGTTGAACCCACGGCCACCAAATTGGCCAGGGTGAAAGCAACCTTGGCGAGAGTCATTTTCTTATCAATTGAGCCTTGACTACTCCGTAGAGAGGATAGAAACATCGAAAGGCCGTGCGGTCTTATACTATAAAAGTCAACTAGTAGCCGGTGCAACATGATCAACCTTATCTCACCGAATCTAGCATCCAATTCGTACACTATCTCCGAATTATAGGGTCATGTGTGAATGTGCCGTGAAGAGCGCATGGAATTTTGAGCGAAACCTTGATTTTAGTTGTTAATTGCCCAATCACGTTCGTGGAAATGTCGCTCTACGGAGTTGAGATAGCAAAAAGGGTATATCATCCGAACGATGCAACAGGGGGAGATGAAGATCAGCTGAATCAATTCTCTGCCGAAAACGGTGAAAGAAACGAAACATGCTATTCTCTCAATCGAAATGCCGAACAGACATGTGATTCTATCACGATAGGCTCGAGATGCGTGCTATCTATGCATCATAGTTGATATCGGCCAGCCACATACTATCCTTCCCCGCTCGGCTATATAGCCATTGCTATACACCCTCTTCATCACCGTCAAGGGTCGACCACGAGGTCGTTTATTCACCTCCTTCCTTCTTCGACTTGATCTTCCTTCGCTCCATTCCGATACTTGCCAAAAAGGCGATGCCGCCAAGTGCCGTCGATACAAGGAAGGCATTTGAGATACCGTACCTAAACGCATCTCTGACGTAGGCGAGAGAATCAGCCGACACAACATGTTCCAAATCTGTCCCACCTGCAGCGATGACAGCTTGTATATCAATCTCGGCTATTGTCTTTAGCCTCTGGCGGAGAGAGTTCTGGAAAACGTTTTGGGAGATGGACAGACCCACTGGACCTCCCAGGGCTTGGGATAGGATGATCAGCACTGTTCCTAGGGGAATGTCACCTGCTCCCAAGACGACTTGTACGGCAAAGATTGGGATCTGAATCGCTATACCAAAGCCAGCTCCAGCTACCACTTCGTAGCCGAACCATCTGGCCGTTGGGGTGTTTTGTGAGATTGTGTACAGCAGACCTGCACCAGTTGTGGAGATGGTCGAGCCGGCCCACATGAACGGTACGTAGTATCCTAGCCAAGTGATAATAGAGCCGGTAATAAGAGTAGCTATCGTGACGGTAACCCCATGAGGAAGAATGTCAACACCAGATGTTTGGGGATCCACTCCCTTGACAGCCTGGAAATAAAACGGCAGATGATAACTCTGCGTGGTCATGGCTCCTTGATACAGTGCAGAGAACAAGCATCCAAGGAAGACAGATCTCTGTGAGATAATGCGAGGGCGGATCAATGCACTAATGAGTCAGCGACAACGACGTCAGGTAACAAGGCGCTTGAGGGGAGAAGGGGACTTACGCTTCTCCTTGCCGTATTTGTATGAACACGAAAAGGGCCAGAAGAAGACCAAAGCCAACAAGACCACCCCAGACCCGTGAATCGGACCAAGGATGTTTTGTGCCTCCCCGTTGAAGAGCAAGGAAAAGACATATTAGAGCTCCTGCAAGAATGACTGCGCTTTTGAGGCTGAGGCCAAGTACCTTTGCCTTGGGGGCTTGGCCGCTATCTGGAGCTTCACCGAGTGGGAGAGGATAGTAAAGACAGATTATGAGAGCCATTACAGCACCCAGAGCTTCGCCGTTCATTAGCACTCAGGTTAGTGTTATGGAAAGAGAACTTACGCAAGTTGATCCAGAAACAAAATCTCCAGGTGAGTTGCTTAGAGTGAGTGAATACACCACCAAGCGAGGGACCAATAACAGATGCTATGCCGTACATACTAGAGATTATAGCCAGAAGCAATGGTCTTTTTCTCATCTCCACAATCTTGGATATAATGATCATGGCACCGCAGAAGATGCCCGCTGCACCGAGTCCAGCAATGGCTCTACCGATAATGAAGGCTGCTGAGCTCGGCGCTGCAGCGCAAAGAACAGAGCCCCCTTCGAATATGATTGAAGAAATCAAGTAAACCCACTTGAGATTGAAGAAGGTATACATCTTACCGAAAGTCGGTTGGAAGGACATTTGCTCGGGCGTGGTGCCTACATTTGAGTCGAAGATAGATCACATATATCAGACTTGGATCTCGATATGGTAGCCCAGTTCCTCAAAGTAAGGAGCTTAATTGAGAGTCCTTCGCTGACACATTCCTAGTAATTAACATTCTTCTCAAAATTCGAGTGGTCGAAAAGCAGCGAAAGGTCAGGAACTGCAGGGTAGCTAAGACTTCACCATGACCGAATCAAAACGCAGCATCCGATGAGTCAGCTGTGACACGCACCGTTCTGACATCATCATCACGCTCAAACAGGGTCAACCGATTGATTTGAAACTTGGAAGTTGGAAGTGGACAAGAATATATCAGGTTATTCATGTCCCGTAAACTCTCAAATTCTGTAAATAATAGTATTAAAAAATTGCCAATATGAACATCAACATTCCAGATCTCATCAAATCCGCCGTCCCAGAGGCTGAGGGGCGCAACGTCCAGATCATCTCGGACAACAGGACCAATCACAGGGACCAGAACTTTCTCTCGGGGGACTTCCCACGCAATCCTCCAAAACTTTACATAACTGGGGAAAATGACGATTTTGACGAGGTCACTCTTGCTGAGTGGAGAGATGAGGGTTTTGATGTTGAGTATATCTCAATGGAGAGCTGCGGAGATGGATATCTGAAGAAGATCAAGTCGTTAAGCAAGGAGAACTTGGGCCCTTGTGAGAAATTCGGAATTGTCGGTAAGCTAATTCGTTCCTCGGAAGGTTTAAAACGATACTGACAGAAAAGCCTACGACGACGCAGCAGCTATTTGTCTCGAGCACTTTCACGTCCTCGACAACAACCCCGAATTCAAGCTCGGTCTTCTCATTGCCTACTACCCAACTCGCATCCCAGACACCAACGGAAGATTTCCTAGCAGCATCAGTGCCCTTGTTCATCTAGCAGCAGGCGAAGAAGTCGGCGTCGTCAAGCAATCTCAAATGGTCGGTATCCAGGGCAAGAAACGCGTGAGACGCACCAAGATTCAGAGTGGCATGGGCACTGGGGGAAAGCTTGACCTTGCGTATCCCAGCTACACATATGAAGCTGAGCCTGGCTTTGCTGAGCATGATCTGGATGAGTACGATGGCGTTTCGGCAGAGCTGGCCTGGAGTCGAAGCTTGGCTGCGGCTAGGAAGGTGTTTGGTATCAACCCTGATCTAGAGCTTGTCTTGGAGCATAACTTGCAGAGTAAGTCCCCTCCATCTCGCAATAGGTGGATTTTGAACACAACTGACTTTCAGCAGGCAAATTCTTTTCTAAGAACCTCGGGCAGGCATTGTCAACTTTCACCACGCACAAGACCCCTCACGTCACGTACATGCCGACTCTGACTGGTGCAACTGGAGCAGCTGAGCTGAAGCGCTTCTACTCCGAATCGTTTACAAGTCCACCATCACTCAAGATCACACTCTTATCACGCACCATCGGCGTTGACCGCGTTGTAGACGAAATGCACGTTCAGTTCAAGCATACTGAGCAAGTCCAGTGGATACTTCCTGGAGTCCCACCAACGAATAAGAAGATTGAGATTCTCATGGTGAGCATTGTCGCAGTCAGAGGTGGCAGACTGTATCAGGAGCATGTCTACTGGGACCAAGCTAGCGTGCTAGTCCAAGCAGGACTTCTTGATCCTAAACTGTTACCGCAGTCTGCGAAGGATCTTGGTGTTGAGAAACTTCCTGTAGTAGGACGACGAGCGGCGAGGAGAGTGAGGAAGAATAGGGATGCGAGCGATGATGAGGGAGCGGCTGATAATGAACTGATTCCGGGGTGGCATAAGCAAGAGGGCGAGGGTACCAAGAACGACCAAAAGTAATAAATAGATAATGACCTAGCATCAAAATTCTTTTTTTAAAAAAAAAAAAAAACATCTAAAAGAATAGTCCATGGGCCGGGTTGTGGATAATATGGTACTCCTTGATGGCTTTGTCCAGTCAAGCCCATCTTTTTTAGCCGCACCAGAGTTTACCGATAAATCGGCAAACCTAGAACCCGGAAGATACTGTTTTCATAGTTTGTAAGAGTTAGCCGACGGTGAATGTTTGGCTCGTCTCATTAGCTTGTCGACTACTCTGGATAAGAGCAACATAGGCAAATAAGATCTGGATATTATCATGGACTAAAAGATTGAGTGACCGTCAAACGCATCGTTCATTTGCCGTATTCAAATTATACTTGAGCATACAAACTTGTTTCTAAGCTTAAGACGATGCTCGCCCTAGTTGTCGTGATGACTTTTCCGAAACGATCACGACATTGGATCCGCATATTGCCAATCGATGTCGCAAGCAACAAAGCCAATGGCGGTGGATCCCGATGTAACGATTCTTTAAAATTCCTGGATTTCCTCGGAGGATCGACCAGTTTTTGTCGGAAGCATGTCTCCTGTTGACTAGTATAGGTAGTGTTTGCATTGATATTACTCGCATAGAACCACTTGGCCATCGAAGCGATGGTGCACGTTGATCTCGCAATGGCTGACCCCCAATTTATTATTTGGGGCTCATATCTGCCAGGGTTGCTTTGAGAGCTGGCAATTGTTTTAAGTAGCAGTGATCTGACCATTTTGTCGCATTTTGTAGTGTTCGTGCATGCTGTATTATCTCAAGTTTTGGCCAAGCAAAAGATAGCACTATGTCGCATCAGCAGCCTACCGTCGTCCCATCATCGGGAGTATCAGACTCTCCTTCTGACAATGGAAGTCTAAGAGGGAAAGGCAAAGCCGAAAATGATGGATATCCCAGCGACTCCGTGCCTGCAACCGCACCAGCCTTGGCTGCACAGCAGGGGCAGCGCATGGAAGCGGCGATGGGAGATGCGATCCTACGATATCTGCGAATAAGAAAGCCTCGGAGGAACAACATATATGATCTTGATTCGGTACGGACGAGAGTGACAATGATTTATGGAGGGGAATACTGACTCGAAGAAAGGTCGCGACACAGCCTAGTATTTGGGACTCGCCCGACATCGAACGATACAAAGAACTATATATTCACCCGCAGTGGGAGAACTGGTCGGCCTTTGATCCTAACTTTCGTTGGACATGGCGTGAAGAGAATGCCGTCCGCCACAAGGTTGACTGGAAGATCATGGTACGAGGAGAGCCAGCTTCACAGTTTTCTAGGAGACTAACCTTTGCAGGTTTGGATGTGCATCATGTTTGCAGCGTTGAACATTGACAGGAACAACATCCAGAATGCTGTCTCAGATAATATGCTTGACGATCTGGGCATTACACACGCCGACTACGTGAGTTCTTTTCAACATATGGGGGAAGCAATGCTGACCGAGGCAGAATATTGGACAAACCATTTCCCGAGTTGGCTTCCTTGTTGCTGAGTTACCCTCGCAGCTTATTTCCAAGCGGTGGGTCTATTAGAAACCTCTCTTTTGTTATGATGTTGACTCTTTGTATAGAATTGGGCCCGACATGTGGATTCCGATCCAGCTTTGCATCTTCAGTCTTATCTCGGCGATGCAATTCTTCCTGAAGGGCCGTGCATCATTCCTTGCCACACGATATCTCATGTGAGTTCTCTGAAATCAAACAACTTAAGCTCTTGCTAATATTACTAGTGCGACCTTCCAAGGCGGCTTTATTCCGTAGGTCTTCTTGCCGTCTTATCCCGAGACATACCTAACAAGGACCAGTGACACAATTCTTTACCTCAGCTACTGGTACACTGGCACAAGAGTATGTCTGGATATAATGGAACATCGAGAGATTTACTGACTTTCGTAGCTCCCGATACGACTAGCCTGGTTCTGGATGTCTTCGCAACTTGGTAGGTAAGACATGGCGCTAGAAAATGCACAAGCTGACAAGTCACGGTCGATATTGGAGTTGGTTTTGCAGCTGTTGGTATGCTCTCGATGCGTGGAATGCTTGGATACGAAGGTTGGAGATGGCTGTTCCTCATTGAAGGGGCGTTCACCTGTACGTTTCCATCACGCTGTGACGGTCGCTCTACTAACGGAGTCGTAGTCCTGATCGGTGTTGCGTCCTTCTTCTTGATGCCGCAATCTCCAGCTAGAACGAAGAGTTGGTGGAATCCGAAGGGCTACTTCACGGAGCATGAACAGAAGATCATAGTCAACTCTGGTGAGTCGTTTACCAACCAGCAACGATATTAAGTGCTGACACGTAATAGTTATTCGCGACGATCCTCAAAAGGGAGGCATGTACAACCGACAAGGTCTATCCGTCCGCCAAATCTGGGAGTGCACCAAAGACTACGATATGTGGCCACTCTACGCTCTCGGTCTTCTCTTCGGTTTACCAAAGTATCCCGTCAACCAATATCTTACGCTGTCCTTCCGTGGACTGGGCTTCAACGTCATTGAGACCAACCTTTTATCAATCCCATACATCGTTGGGTCCTGCATCACGATGCTCGCGATCACAGCGTTCAGCGAACTAGTTAACAACCGAAGTTTTGTCTCCATGGCGGAGGATGCTTGGTTACTCCCATGCTTCATCGCTTTGATTGCGTTGCCTGACCCGATCGGACCTTGGGCTTACTTTGCCATCTCAACCGTGCTTCTGTCTTTTCCATAGTGAGTATCTTTGCTCTCGACGAAACGAGTTTCTCTGACAGTACCTAGTACCCATCCTATTCAAGTCGCATGGACGAGCAGGAATGCGGGGTCTGTGCAGAACAGAACAGTCTCAGCATCGTAAGGTTACTCACCTCCATCTCAAGGTATGATTTCTAACGATGTCTAGACTTTACAATATGTGGGTTCAAGTCAGTGGAATGATCGGAGCAAACAGTAAGTCCCCATGGCATCGCACGAGCTGAGACACTGACATGTCGTAGTCTATCAACCAAGCGACTCGCCACGATACTTTAAAGCCAACACAGGTTTACTGGTCATTTGTGTATGGATGTGTGTAAGTCTTAATCATCACATTTGTAAATTACGAAACGAGACTCACATCTACACAGCTTGTTCAATATCCCGGGACATTCTTTTACTACAGGTGGAGGAACAACCAGAAGGCCAAGAAATGGGACGCCATGACCCCAGAGGAGCAGCATCACTACAGGACTACGACGTCCGATAAGGGCAATAAGCGGTGAGTTTCCGTCCGGCTGCGGCAGAAATGTCAAAGTTGCTGATTTATGTGCAGACTCGACTTCCGTTTCGCGACTTAGTCTTGGTAGCCGAGGCAGAAGGTCTTGGGTGAATGAGGACGCACGGATGGCTCTCAAATGTTGAGCGATTGACAATAGTGAGATTGCTTGTATTACATGTCACTGGCCTTTACTTTAATCCTTGATCAAGCCTGAGTCAGCGTGATACACACTCTTTCAATTCATTACCACTTTGAGCCGTGAACTATCTTGTCCAACCACTCAGAACCAAATCCTTCAGATTGAATTTTGTACCGTGTTACATCAATTCGAAAACACCGAAACTCAACGATTGACCGAATCACCAAACCCTCACTTCACTTCCATCTCGCAAACCTAACCCTCCTCACTCAACCTCCCCCACCTTTTTTTTCGGATCAAGGAACCCGCGGCCGTTTTCCAAATCCAAGCTATCTCTCAATCCGTCCACCAGATCGTGCCTCGGCTTTTTTTCTCGAATGCTCGATCGTCGCAAGCGAGCCGAGGGTCGAAACGCGGGGTTGCAGTGCCAAAAGGAGGAAAGATTGGTTGCTACCCCACACGGGTTTGCCATGGGAATTCATCATTTGGTGTTCGAAATAGCTTGGTATACCCCGGATTTGCTCTTCAGCTTGCTGTGGGCCGGGGAAATGTGTTAAATAGCTCGAAATGGAGCTGTAGTTCTCCTCTTTCCATGCCTAACCTCCCTTGAATGATTGTGAAATCTGTTTGCTTCGTTCTCAAGTTTGTCTAATACCTCTATTCAACATGGCTCTCCATTCACGATGGTCTAAAGCCATTCCAAAATGCTCCCTGCAGCAATGGGTCTTTGGTTCAGCCTCCGAGCCCATGGAAGAGGGCGATAAGCCCATCCTCATCGACGCAGACCGCCCAGACACGCACTTCCTCACAAAGGAGCAATTCCGACTTCTCTCCAAACAAGTTGCCCTCGGTCTCATGAAAGCCGGTCTGCAGCCAGGAAATAGAGTGCTCATGTTTTCCAACAACAACATCTACTTCCCATGCATATTTCTGGGCATCTTGATGAGCGGCGCTATGTTCACCGGTGCCAATCCCGCCTACACACCCCGAGAGCTTGCGTATCAGCTCAAAAACTCTGAGGCCACGCACATGTTTGTTGTTGTTAACCAACTACCTACCGCTTTAGAGGCTGCCGAGACAGTCGGTCTCCCAAAGGAGAACATCTTTGTCATCGATCCATCTGTGCTCCCGCCTGTTGGAACAACACCGATTGCATCCTCGATTACGAAGGACGGTCTTCGCATGTGGACGGATCTTGTAGCCGATAACCAAGCACAAGCTAAGAATTGGGAATGGACAGAGCCCGCAGATCCAGAGACAGCAGGGTGCTGCCTCAACTATAGCAGCGGCACGACGGGCGTTCCCAAAGGCGTTGAGATCACTCACACCTCATACGTTGCCAACGGCTTAGGTGTTGTCCTCATTTCAGACCTAGAACCTGATACCGAGCTACAAAAGCGAACCAAGAGTCTCGCCTTTCTCCCTATGTATCACGCATACGCGCAAACATATTTCATCTCCATCTATCCCCATCTCAACATTCCTGCATACATCATGCCCGCCTTTGACTTCGAGAAGATGCTACAGCACATTCAGCGCTTCCGTATCACAACCCTTCTCTGTGTCCCTCCCATTCTGGTCTACCTGTCAAAGCATCCTCTCGTCAAGAAATACGACATCAGCAGTGTCGAGCGCCTCGGATCTGGCGCTGCACCTTTGAGTAAAGAGGTTGCGACGAGTGTTGAGAGACTGTGGGCTGATGGAAGCGTCAACGTCAAGCAAGGTTGGGGTATGACAGAGGTTACCTGCACCAGTATGACTTGGGACCCTCGGGTCGTGTGCGATCCTTCTGCGGTCGGAGAACTGGCGCCGAACTATTCGGCAAGGCTTATGCATTTGGATGGACAGACACCAGTGACGAAGCCCGGTGAGCGAGGTGAGCTTTGGGTCACGGGACCTACGTTGATGAAGGGATATTGGAAGAATCCCAGTGCTACAGCTTCAACAATCCATGTTGATGAGAATGGCACGAGGTGGTTGAAGACGGGCGACATCGCATTCGTCGAGTCCTTCAAACCTGGAGCCATCTTCCATATCGTCGATCGAATCAAGGAGTTGATCAAAGTCAAGGGCAACCAGGTTGCGCCAGCAGAATTAGAAGCCGTGCTCCTAGACCATCCCGAGATCGCAGACGCTGCAGTCGTTGGTGTACCATATGAAGGCGATGAGGTCCCTCGCGCATATCTCGTCAAGGTCCCTGGATCACAAATCACCGAGCAGCAGATAATTGATTGGATGGAGGCTAGAGTTGCCAAGTATAAGCGTCTCAAGGGCGGTGTACGTTTCGTGGATATGATCCCCAAGAACCCGGTAAGTGAGATCTATGAGCTTTATTTGATGTCACTAACTTTGTGTTTTTAGTCCGGAAAGATTTTGAGAAGGGAACTGAGGGAGAAGGCGAAGGAGGAACTGGACGCCAACAGAGCACCCTCATCGCGGCTCTAAAGAGAAGTCATATCTTGGCTCCAATACGTTGTGGAATAGAACGAATGCATCAAGACAGAGATTGGCGAAGCATGAGAACATTGTGCCGTTTTAGCGTAAATATATTCGTATTTTATGGTACTTGTACAGAAGCATATCAGCTTCTCTCTGATGAACTATCATTGTGGCCGAAAGTAACTTGAACAGGTACCAATATGCCAACCTTGGTCCTGGCTATCAAACATTCCTCCCTCCAAAATCTCGTCTGCCATTGTAATGCAGCCGGATAAGCTCAAACATATCAAAAAGGGATAACGAGCCCAATGCTTTAGACCTGTTCCACAAGTGTGAAACCGAACATCTCATTGTCGACCAGTGGTAAAACATGAGTCTGCTGAAGAACACAGTCCGAGCAGTATCTTCTCCCTTGCCCCTTCACAAGTTGTCGAGCTTGGCTCATCATTTGTGAGCGCGCGCCTGGTAACTCAACCCTCAATCCATGGGCACATCTGCCTGCTGACCATCCACCCGGGCGAGCAGTCCATACTGCTCAATCACCGCACGAAGTTCTTCGAGTGACGAACCTTTCTCCTGGAGTAACTTGTCAAGAGTTGCAATGGCCGAAGGACTAGTTCTGACCAAAAGTTGAAGGAACTCAGTGTATTTGACAGTCATGCCGAGTCTCTCAGCGACTGTCTTCTTCTCCTCGATCTGGGGCGTCTCTCTGTTCATGAACTCCAGAGCAGGGCGCGCGGCCTCTTCTGTCTGCTGGCATGCCAAGTGAGCCACGCCAAGTTCCGCCTCGGCTTCCTTAAGAGCGCTGGCTTTGGCGGCCAACTGAGCCAAAACCTGTTGCTCTACGGCCTGGAAATTCTCGGCGGAGGATGGCATACAGAGTTTCTGCGAGTCGGCGAGATTCTTGAGACAGTTGTTGAGGGTTTCGCTCTCCGTTCGGAGGTTTTCGACTTTGGCCTCGGCTTGGAGAGAATATCCTTGTGCGGCTCGATATGCCTCGAGGCAGGGCTGGTGCAGCTCCAGCTCGTGGTTGATGTGATGCTGTTGAAGCTCCACGGTGCCGAGGAGACGCTCGTGTTGCTTACGCAAGTCTTGAACATGGATCTCGAGGTGGTGATGAAAGGTGTCGGTCGCCTGCATCCCCGGGGGACGGTCGTGAAACTGTCATCCCATTAGCAAATCCCTCATAACAGGCAAGGATTGAGAGCTTACATTATACTGATCAGTCATCACGAGAGGTGTAGGAGCGGCTGGCTGAAGAGGCTGTAGATATGATACCGTCTGGTAGCAGGCACGTTTGTTGGACTGGTTGGCAGACGTCGCCGAGGCAGAACGGTCTCGCTTGTTGGGAGGTGCATAAGTCACTGGAGAGGGTGCAGTAGGAGCCTCTTCGGGTGAACTAGACTCGGCTGGCGTGATGGTGTTTTCGTTGTGAGTGACGGCGACGATACTATCAGCAGTGGCCTCCTGCTCACGAGCGACATCTGAGAGCTTCTGAGAATTGATGGCAACCAAGATGTTTGCGAGCCCGCCACGATGTGAATGCTCGTCGGCCGTGGCCTCATCGTCGTCATCCGTGGCCCCAATCTCGTGCTCATATTCACGCTGAGCATCAGGCTTCGAAGTACTTCGGGTGCAGCTTGCGCGCATGTTTGCACCAACGAATTCTCTGGTGGCCTTGATATCTCTCATACGAAGTACCTTCTGCTGGCCATGGCGGACTTCCTCCTGGAGATGGTCTTTGATGGCAGACACATCGCAAACTTTGATGCCTTCTTCGACTAAGTTGGCCAAGTCTCCAAACATTTTGCGATTCTATTGCGTAGGTAGGAACTCAGCCAACCACTCCCAAGGCTTGTCGCCCACGACGTCTTCAATGCGGTGAACGTAGCGTAGAATGGATGCTCTGTCTCCCGTTTGTTTTTCAACGACGTTCGATGGCAACACAATCTCCTCAAGGTCAGCGGTCGGGGTTGCGGCTGGAGCAGGAGATGACTGGGCTGGCGAGGCTGCTATCGCTTCAGCGTGCGCCATGACTGCCACGAAGTTGAGAATTATACAAGATGCGCAGTCGTGGGCAGGACGTCAGTAATGGGGATAAAGTAAAGGGTGAGATGTAAAGACAAGAAAAGAAGAGCAGAGACATCAAAACAGAGCAGAACTTCTCATGAGCAGCAGCGCGCTTGTGTGACACAAGCACGTGACTGTACCCTCTCTCTTCATGCTGTGTAACATGACAGCCTGAGATTCATAGGCTGTGAGTCATCGTTATCATCAGTAAGTCTGCACTGGCGTCGTGTTTATGAGGTTGGCTAATTTCCTACAGTGCCAGCCAGTGGTTGTCATGGATACCGCGATGTCCTTGACGAAGGACAGGCGGAAACTGGAAAATAAGCAATAACAAACAAACAGACTACCTCATTTGGGTTCTCAATGTGTTTGAAGACTTGAAGCTCTTCGGGGTGGCAGTTTGCTGAGTGTAAAGTCTCAAATGTCATGCCACATTCAAGGACAAGCCGTATCATCGCGCTTCCGGTCGCGTGGAAATCGAGTATACCCAAATTGCAAGAAGAAACCCATCTTTAAGAAACAATTATTAATACTATTATGCGTGTACACGTACAGATCCGTTCATCTTTTGCATATCCAATCTGATGTGCTTTTCACAATACTTTGATCCATTTCTTTTTAGGCAAAGCATTTTTACTTGACGGACGTTGGTCTTTCTACATGAGAGCGAACAAGAACATCATGGGTGCCCAAGCCATTCCGATAGCCGCGACTCCGGTGCTGAGAGAGTTGGCACCAGCAGTGGGAACAGGTGTAGCAGGAATAGGCGCAGGTGTAGTTGGGGTGACGACAGGAGGGGCAGTAGGAACCTACTCAGGTCAGCTTCTTCATCAAGTGTTCTCAAAGTATCTGGACTTACGACAGGCGGCGCGGGGACAGCCGGTGCAGCGGATGTCGGTCCCGGAGCCTTAGACTTGGCCGTGGCGCTCGGGACGGCGGTGATAGTAACGCCAGCAGCCTGGCAGAGTTGAATACCAGCAGAAATCGCATCTTTTGATATCAGCGTATGCTTATGTTGTGTCGACGAGAGTGTTCAAACTTACCAGCGGCCTCACGAGGGCGGCAGCTGGTGCCGACGCAGCTAAGGTAGGATTCGGCGAACCCCGGAGCTTTGCAGACGCAGCCGGGATCTTCAGAGCCGCACTTGCTATCTTGGATGGCCTTGAGCGCACATGGTCGCTGTTTGGAGATGTTAGTTCAGCCTAGCCATGAGAGTAGTGGTATGATTGACTTACTGCACACTCGGGAAGGACACCGCCGCCGTCGCCTTGTCCTCCGGCCTGGGAAGTTGACTGCGCCAAGACAGACGAGGAGAGAAGAGCAGTAGTGATAAGGAAGAAGGACTTCATTTTAAAACTGGTTGTAGGTTTGTATTAAGGTAGGCTGTGAGTGATATAAAGTCCCAGGTTGTCCAAGAGTGATAATCAGTGATTAGTGATCGGTCGTTCGAAAAACTCGCCAAGAAACATGGGGTTTATCAGTTTATATAGGTGACTACTTCTTCATAAAGTTCAATAAAACACCAAGAACAGAAGTGTAATGGAGCTGGAATGAGCCACCACGCGAGCTCCGCCGTTTGGGAGGCTGGATAGACTCCGGCAAGCACGTGTAACTAACGTTCCTATTCGCCCAAAGCTCAAGCTTAAGCTCAAGGTTCGATGGTTGCAGCGGCTCAGATCGAGGGTGCAAAGTCAGGAGATATCCAGGCCAATCGGGTTGACCAGAGGGCTGGCCCCGTAAAGGGACACCCGAAGAACGTATACAGCTTCAAAGCAAGCTGGCGAGTGATCGTGATACAGGAGTCCAACGACAGGCAAAGCTTCGTATTGATTCGCAACATCGCCAAGTATAGATATGATCAAACTCGGTACAGCTCAAAATGAGGTCAGGCAGGTCAACAGCAGTAGCACCATGTGCCGTACTCGTTCTATGGTATCTTCATTGGTCAATTATATTTTAATGGATGCATCGTATTTTTCGACGCCTTGGCGTTATAGTTCAAGCCTCAGCGACATTGCCTTGGTACCTTGTCGGCTTGTCAGCCTTACGGTTCAAGAGCCTTTAGCTATCGATAGAGCTGACGTAGTGCTACCAAGACCTCCTTCACTATAGTTATCAGAAGCAAATCCATGATGCTGAGCTCGGGGAGAGCGTTGGGGGCAACCGTCTCACTTTGTTTCCTCGGGATGTCCATTGAGAAGGAATGCTATGTGCATCTTGATCTGAACTCAATTGAAGTTCTGGGGTTAATGTCAGAAAAAGCTATTCATCATGACTTCATCTTTGAGGGGGTAAGTATCGATCGGCAGGGCGAGCTGCGGGTGGCTTGTCAAGCTTTGGTTTGGCTTCGGCTACATCGATTGGCGCGTTCTTCGACGATTTAGCTTATCTATCTCTTCATCATGGCATTTCTATTCGTGTACTCAATGATCTGGCTTGCCCTTTCCATCACAGCTCCAGCTACGAGTTACATTGTCATCATGCCGGGGAACACACTGTCCCATTTGTGTTCTTGTGTCAGGTCGCTTGGGGAAAAGACTCCGAATAAGTTTATGGCAGGACTTTGGTGCTAGACGTCAGCTGAAACGCACGTATTGGTGGCACGCATGTTGCTGCGTCTGTAGTGTAACGCGCGACCTTCGATGACTCCTTTATAACTCGTATTAAGCTGCATGATGCTTGAGTTTAGAGTTACTCAACACGGATATCCCGGCACAATGCCATCATTTGCATACGAGGTGCATGAGACACAGTAAAAGAGTAGATATCATCGCCACGACAGGGAGGAGCACGTTGTTGCGATACGCAAACGGAGGCATGCCATACTAAGAACTTGACCTTCGGATTGTAGCTGTAATAGGGAGAGAGAGGTACTGATTGAATCATGCATGATTCATAAGGATGGTAGTTAAGATGAGTACAAAAATAAAAAGTAAAGATTGCGGTTTATGTGGATCGAACACATGACCTTCAGATTACGATTCCCAAAGTTTGACTTCAGTCTGACGCTCTCCCAACTGAGCTAAACCCGCCAATCAACTAAGCGATAGAGAATTAGGCTTCTTATTCAGAATATGATCCAAGCTCCTGACTGCACTCCCTTGATTCCCTGCTGAAGCTTCCCAGCATCACGTTCTTGAAGACTCAAATGAGTAAACAGCCGGTTGTCATTCTACGCTCGTAGCCTTGCTTTGCAGGCCGCTATTACTTCTAGATTTATTAGTTGGCAGCTAGTCCGATAAGCGACGATGTGGTTAGCATTCAAGGCCCCAGAAGTTGTTTGGCAGTTGCGTTTGCTCGTGGATAGCGACAGAGCCTCATGTCCAATTTGTCCCCCCATGGTCATTATTTGGCATGTCACAAGTGAATCGGGATCCCGCTCCTCTCATTTCCAGACACTAATAAAAGCGGCTGTTCGGGAAATTCTCGCTTGGCTGAGGTTATAGCTTGATTGAAGGATTCGAGAAGCCTCCCTTAACCTTCCTTTGCCCTATTAATGCTCACTGTTTCAAGCCAACAGAAGCAACGCGTCTGGTGCGCTGTGTTTCTTTTATACTACCAAGGCTTCCTTCCATTGTATCATTTGGCAAAATGACACCATCGTGATGCCTATGACACTGTTGCACAAGGCTGAGCAGGGCAAGCACGATCCTTCGCGTTTCATCGACGATAGCGGGACGCCATGATTGGCACTCCAAGCATCGCATCTAATTTAACTCCCCCACTGACCGACCGAGCGAGCAAGGAGACTTCACGGATATAAACAACGCCTTGTCAGCCCTTCACTCTTCATTCCCAGAATTACAAGACAATTAATTCCATCTCGACTGACCATGGCATTCACCAAAGTCGCGTTGCTCTCTTTCCTTTCGCTGGTCGCCGCCAGGGACGCGCTCCAACGCCCCACCGAAAGCCCTGTTCTCGGCGAAGTCACCCCACAGGGCTGCTTCAGTGCCCTCCCCAGCCAAGCCGATGGACGATCCGACACCTTCAACAGCGTCGGCTCATGTGCCCAGTACTGTCAGACGCAGAAGAAGACGGTCGCGATACTCAAGGGTGTAGAGTGCATTTGTGCTGATATCTACCCGGCCAAATCTGCCTTAGTAGACGACGACAAGTGCGATACGCCTTGCCCTGGATACGCCAAAGACGCCTGTGGTGGAGAGGATGCCTACGGTGTTTTCAACCTCGGTGTGGACTTGTTGCCTGGCAATGAGGGAGACAAGGGGCCATCGGGTACAACTGCTCAACCAACAGGTTCGACCAAAACTGCTGTTGTGACGACTGCGACTGAAGTCTCTACCACCGACGCTGATACGACTTCTGCGCCTAAGACTGAGGCCGAAGAGACAACATCCGCTACCAAGCCTGAAAGGGCTTCCGCGACCGAAGCGACAACGAGCGACAGCACTGCGGTGTCTACGCCCAGCGCATCTGCATCGTCTGTCCCCGACAACGCGGCGCGCAGACTCAATAACCCCATCGGCAACTTGGCTGGACTTTTGCGACGCCTGCTATATATAATGTTGAACTAGTGGTGGGGATTGAGGGTTGGTCTGTGATGTATGGTATCAGTTGAGCAACAGATTGCCCCAGACCATAGAGGATCCTGTCGATGCACACACGGTAGACTTAGGCTCACGCATGAATTAATCATAAAACTTTGAGCTCTCGAAGCTTCTGATGACAGGGTCCTCCTTTATGGGATACTGATTGTGTGCTCCAGTGCATCTTCAATCACTGTAAATTGGGGGCACATCCATGTAGAGTACCTTCGACTGCCAATTGGCCAATTATCCGTGCCTGAACAGTTAACACTTCAATCTCTGCAACAGCTATCTTCTTTCAAATCCTGTCGCTTTACTATTCATGGCAGGCCTTGATAATGTGCTGCTGGTCAGAATGCGCCCTGGGATTGAATGTGCTGTCGCCTGTTGAAAATAAAGTGAAACAAGCCGCTATATTTTAGGGGATGTGCACTGTTTCCCAGTGCGATCCTCCCTGTTCATCCACTCCATACGAACGCCAAACAACCCTGGGCTACGGTCGGTTCTCTGAGAAGGCCAACAGGCTTCACAAGCCTCATCTTTTCGATGCATTCAATCTCTCAACGTGATGGACACCAGTTTCAAATCTCACGCGTTTATCTCCACAGCGAACGATATGGTATTCGGGTTTTCATATGCTCATCAACAAACGATATATATTGCCCAGCCCAAACAAGCTGGTCCTCGTCTGGTACAAAACGAAACATCTGCGGCTTCATGAACACGTCAAAACCGTCGATGCACCATTCGGAACCTTGATGAAATTCGGCGGCCCAGACAACTCCTCATCGGGACGCGCCTTCTTCTCCTCTTGCAAAGCCCACTCGATTGTCCTCGGCGTATCAGTAGTCCAAACGAGCCTCATGAATATCCCCGTATATTTGAGCTCAGAAGAGTGCGTCGAAACCCAGTGCTCTACACCTCCAACCTTTCGATGCAGTCCAAGACCCCCTTTTGCGCCATAACATGTTTGGATGCCACCAGTATGACTCTCTTTAAGGCCGTGCAGCATCGCAAGTTTCTTTGTCTTGGGCTCTGATGCGAGGAATGCTTCGAGGGGTTTTGCGTCGAGTTGCACGCCATGAGGGGAGTCCATAATCACTTCGTGAACTTCTTTGCCGTTGACGGTATGAGACCAGATTATAGCAAAGACAAAGTTAAGTACGCTTTTGCCGAGGATCATCAGTGGTGTGAACCAGCTTGGAACAGGATCGCCCGGGTGAAGGTTTGGTGAGTTCCAAGTTGTCGCCGAGGAATCGAAGTTATTAATAATTTTGATGGTCTGAAAGTGATTCCAAGGTTCGATGATGGCTGCTCCAGGTGCTGTTACTATGACGGGAATCTCGGGAGGAAACGTCTTCAGTGTTTGTGGATGGAGATGATCAGAGTAAAAGAAACCAAGAAGGATAGCATCGAGTTGTCTTGTTGACTCTTGGGCTTGAGCATTTGCTGGTAAATGCGCCGAGGCAGCTTTCTCAATCTCGCGAACTAGATTCTCCAGGTCTCCAAAGGTAGAAATGCCTTCCTTTTCAACACGAGCAAGGTGTACGAACCATGGATGTCCAACATGCGCGGCTCCATTCAACCATGGTTCAAAAGCGAGATGGTAGAAGACTTTCCCGGTAGCAGCCCTCTCTGCCTCAGGCCGAGGGAAAGACATCAACCAGCTGTTGTCGCCATTGAGAGATGTGAGTATGGGTCGGAGCGGTTTGCTTGGATCCGAGAGGTGTTTTGTAACGGTTTCTTGCGGTGATTCAGCCATTTTGTAGTTCTATATATGCACTAGTGGAGTTGAACATGTTAAGAATGGTTTATTAGGGTTGAGCAACTTGAGCTTAAGAAGTGGAGGAGTCAATGACGGCATGGGGCGACGAGATCCTTAGCTCATTCCAAAGAAAGCGGCGGTGCAACGTCGTAGACGCCCGCTCATCTTAGCTAGTTGGCGATCTACGGGGTATCGTCTTGGGTCCATCAGTGACGCGGGGGCACGGGATGGGAACATTCAGGGTCTACAAAGAAACAGCCCCATAACCACGAGAGGTCTGTCGTGTTCTTTGGCTACAGCAAAATGTCTCGTAGATACTATTGTGCTGATTGAATCTGTCGCTAAAGAGAAGGTGGACTCTGGTGCAACTTTGGTCAGAATCCCCGTTGTCTCACCAGCAGTCAGCAAGCCGAACTAAAATCTCATTGACCGTCCCCGGGGCAAAAGCGGGATTCCGGCTGCTATCTCCGCAATGCTGGAAGGGCAGAAGGGTGACAGAAGATCGACTGGTCGAGAATGCAAATGCTCAATCCCTTGCCCAGGTCTTCAACTGTCATCACAGGACGACGAATAGGCAATCTTATGCCTAAGCCTACGTGGAATTACGCTGTGGTGTTGACTGCAAGCAAGGCTTCCACTTGATCCTCGGCACCCTTTCCGACGATTTCCTTCAACGGTATTGAAGGTTGCATGAGCTACCACTTACCCTGTATGAGCTTAGATCAAAACGTCAATTTCCATTTTGCGGGGTATTGCATGCATTTAATTAAAGAAATATACATCGGCAATCGGTCAAGGCACTTTATTACACTTGGTCACGCTCGGAGTGGTCGGTTGTTGACCCTCGGAAGGTCACGGGTTATTCAGGATGGATTTACGTGTAATGGCGGGTGTCGCTACGGCGTTTTGGTACCCATAACACGACCCGGAACGTCGGGACTAGGACAAGGTTAATATGCCTGCAGATTGGGAAGTTTTGTTTTTGGCTCTAGTCAGATGAGCTCACGCGGAGGATAGCAGGTGAAGCATTGATGTCGACCATATCTATCTACTAGAGGCTCAACATTGAGGTCTGGGCATCAGCTGACAACGGTTCACAGGACTAAGAGAGAAAAATACTACGAGCATTACAATCGATACTCCAAAGAACATATCGATAGCTATTTATATTTTTGTGACTGCAAAATCACTGTGTGTACTGTAGTCTATACCCATGTTCTGAGCTAATGTCGGACCGACGCCAAGGATCACGGTGGGAGGAAAGGAATGGCGATTTTGGCCGATTGACAGGTTGGCCTTCGCTTATTAGACTTTCATCTTTATAAAATGCAGGCATTCTAATTGATTTAGTGGAGGAGTATCGTAAACCCCTCTTGACAACCTCGGTGCTATAAAAAATAACATATTTTACCCGAGGCACGGCCTTAACTCCGCGGGCTTTGATCCGTTGATAGACACAGAAGCTCTTCCACTCAATTATTGGTAATCAATTCCTGGATATTTAGTTGTCTCACAAATCGACAAAGATGCCAAGTGATTTCTCTTCTAATTAAAGAAGGTCTTAGTAGAGACCCGCTCGGGTTGCAACAATGCCGAGGAATATGCTACTTAAACTTACTCAGTACTATGGAGCAATAGTCCAAAAGCGACCAAGATGAGATGCCTGTGTCCCTGCATCTTCTAGTTCATTATCATTGTCATACTGGCTGCTGCTCGTCGGGCTGAAAAGAGTAAGTAGTTCGTTCCAGATTATAAGCATGAGGGCCACGAGCCGTTACAGGGATGCAACAGGCTGCTTAGAGACAAAGCCACATAATAGCGTTGTCATAGCGTTCAAAGGATTTCCGGGAACCATTCCTAGCGATGAAATCAGGGGTCCAGTCGATCCAAGGACGGCCAAGTCTTGTCTGTTCCAAACAAAGCCACAAAAGTCGTGTGATATCAGGAGCGTCCCGGATACATGGAAATGGCTTCCTAGTTCTTACTCCAGGTCTAAAAAACCATTGGTCTGTCCGTGCTAAGTCTCGATCGGTTGTCGGAGGCTTTTGGTCCCAGCATCGCCAGTGATCACCGCTAACAAGTGCCATAACAGGTATGAAGGTTTCTCCAACAAATGAAGCTATCGGGCTTTCGGGAATAGTGCCATTGGGCCCGATTTCTGAAGCGAGGACCCCTTGCAATCGCACTAATCTGCCGTGCATATAACCCCTGTCGTTACCCCTGAGTCCGTGATGAAGCTCCTCCAGAAGTTCAGGTCATTGTTTTCCCGGGAAGATTATGGAGTATGAGTACTTAACGTTGAGCGTTATCTATGGTGGAAAATAGCATCATGAACTTTTGAACGAGCTTGGCGGACAAGATCAGCGACGGCTGACTGTACGCTCTGACAATCTCCACAGAATATCTTGTATATCTGTGGCTCTAGGTTACAATCATGCGATTTCCCACGTCCGGGATCCTGGGTCGAGTCATTGTCTGCAGCAGGGCTTCAAGCCACGAACTTGGCAGCTGTGCGTCAGCAAGAAGCAAAAGTTCGCTTAAGTTAGTGGTTTCTCAGATCTACGCGGGGATTCGACTGGCTGCGCACTGATTCCAGCTGTGCATGCCACGCAAAAAAAGAGCCTTTAGCAAAAACATTAACTGGCATGACCCCAGCAAGCCATGGGGACGCTTCAAACTGAAAACAGTCACTCGAAGCGCTGGGTGCAGATCCGTCGATCGAGCTCACGAGTCAGTACCCCCTGGCCGGGCTAGGCGTTGTCCGCGAGATATCCTTGGTCACGAGCCTCGATAAGGTTCACTAGACCGTGCTACTAAGAAGATGGGATGGGTGGAGAGTCAAAACGCGGGGAATGGGCCAAACTCTGGAATACCCGGCGCATTTGGAGCCGTTGCTAAAAAGGAGGGAGAGGGCCAGTTGCTCAAAATGCCAGCCCTGCGCTGCCAGGAATTTCGTATTTGTTTTCTGCGCTTGTGAGTGTGGGTTTCGACATCGCATCGCCATCATGCTTGATGAGAGCGCGACATCAGTGGACCCCCAGGGTCTAGGGCGTGTTCTGCTTATTGTCCCCATCCTTTTCTTGATCCTTACAGCGATAATTGTTATTCTGAGATGTGTTGTTCGGTTGAAGTATCGTCTCTTCGGAATCGATGATGGTCTCATGCTTATCGGATGGGTGAGTCTATGTCACAGTGAGACAAGACAAAACAAAACACGTTACTAACCCGGCCAGATACTACACGTTGCATTCACTGCTGTTGGTATACGTGCCGTTTACGCAGGCGTGGGAACAAAAGACAAAGACCTTAACGCATATCTTCAAGTCGATGGTCGAAAGGTATTTACTTCATCTTGAGCATCAATCAACTTAACGCCTCTGCTAACTAATGTGTAGTGGATGTGGATTGGCCAAATAATCTACGATTTCTCATTGACGCCTCTCAAATCGTCCATCTGCGTTACCCTCCTACGCATCGCCGTCACCAAAACTCATCGAATCATTGTCTGGGCAACTCTCATCTTTACTATTATCACTATGATGTATAACACCATCGGCACCTTTTTCGCATGCATGCCCATCTCTGCCAACTGGAACGACCGAAGAAATTGTTCTGTGCCATTCATAATGAGTCTAGGCTATGTCGTGTCCATCAGCGCCGTTATTACGGATTGGATTTGTGCTATTTTACCTATCTTTATGCTCTACAAGTCCCACATGAGGAAAGCCACCAAGGTCTCTGTCAGCATCATTCTTGGTCTGGCTGCATTGTAAGCTATAATGTCACCCTCAGTTTTCATGTCTAACTTTGCATTAGGGCCTCGCTCTGTACTATTGTTCGAATACCTTATTTGAGCGCGTTCTCGCATCCTGATAATTACTTATGTCAGTATCCCAGGAGAGTGGCTTTAGCCTTTTTGGCTACCGTACTGACAAGACTAGACAACGTCGGAAACATCGTACTATGGTCCACTCTGGAGTCGGGAATTGGAATTATCGCTGGATCCTTACCATCACTACGAAAACTCGTCAGCTCTCATTTCCATTTCGATTCGTCGACGGGTAGCTCCCCAGCTCACATTACGCCATTTTCTGGAACCAGCAGAGCCGTCATCACTTCACAATCAGTGTCGGCAGCACGCCGAACTCACAGGGGCCAGGTTGGCGATAATTGGGAGCAGCTTGATGATGTTGTTGAGGGCACCTCCAGTCAGAAGATTTATGTCAAGGTGGACTTGGAGATGCAGTCTTTGGAGAGACCAGAAACATCGAGAGAGTCACATGGGTCCCGTGAAGACCTGGTACATCCATAAATAGTATTTTAATATTATTTGTATTCTAGCTAGACTTTAAATGGGACAACAGTACAGAGAAATTTGCTCAGCCTTGCGTGTCGATGTTCTATATGCTGGTCGTACGCTGGGTCGAATGTTGACTTCTGAGGCCAATTCCATGAACTCTTGATGAAGTATTGATTGGAGAACTCATGAATTCCAAAACTATCTCCTGCAGTGCAGCTGACAGTGTAGGTGTTCTCTTATGCCTATTTTTATCTGTTGAGCTTATGACGGAATGTTAGGAGGACGCGAAGACTATGAATGGACTTCCTTGGGGAAATTTTGAGAGCGGTGAGATAGTAGGTTTCTATGACACGCTCACGTATAACCGTGAAGAGGAACCACGTTGGCCAGCTCAAACATGCTTTGCAAGTTACTCGACTTAAGTTATCGAAACATGATGGGCCAGCGTATCGATAAGATAAGGGTGCTAATCTCACACTCCCAATTGGTTGCATGATAATAAAGTGGACACGGCGTGTGAAAGGCACGAAATGCCGCTCGGTACGGAGTAGGTACTCGAGAAGAAGCAATTGCGTGCGTTCCATAATCCTTTCATTGGAAATTTGAGAATAAGCTAGTATTGGACACACCAGGAGAAACTTGCGATGCCGTTAGTGACGCTGTCAGTGAGTGTTGAGTAGGTTGGTGATCATTCAAC